TAAGGTTGTTTACTCTCTTCCTTTCTCTTTCTTCTGGTGGTTGACTGGATTATCAAGACCTTCAAATCTCAGGGGGAAGCATGGCATATAATGGACAGCTTTGAGGAAACTAGACGACCTGGACTTGGCTGGTGACTTAGCTCTTCTATATCATACGTAGCAACAAATGCAGGTGAAGACAATCAATGTAACAGCCGCAGCTTTTGCATCAGTAGGCTTCAACATACACAAGGGAGAAAGCACGATTGTCAAATACAACACGGGGAACACTAACCCTAATCACACTTGATGAAGAAGCTCTGGAAAAGGTGAAAACTTTCACATACCTGGACATCACCGATAAACGATGAGGATGTGATGCAGGTGTAAAGGCACCACAGGGAATGGAAAATAGTCGCATAATGTCTCGAGCTGATTGATGTTAGTGATGTGTACCATTGGTACCGACCAGCCATGAAGCCTGAAGGCCCTGACTTTGATCCTGGGCTGCATCGTGTATACTCACTGCTGAAGAGCCCCACACTAAGACGAAAAGGCTTCTCAGTGCCTTCTGATTGTCAATTTTTATGTAACTGAAATCAGTCCGTGATGTAAACTATCAAAATACATATGCTTATGCTACGAATATGGCGGCTACTAAACCTAAGGTTGTTTAGGTTTTAGAATGAATTGGAGGTAAATGGGATTATCTATTTGTAGAATTTCTATTTTAACGGAAATTAGAATAGTTTTTTGCATATTTGAGGATAAGTTTGGTCACAAATTAAAATTAGTTAGCTGAAGAACCATTAGAAAGATGATGGATTTCGTAACTTTTCTGTAGTGTTGTTGTTATAACTTGTCAGTTGAATGCTGATTGTCTTGGCTCTTTTAATGCTACGTTTTATATCTGGTCGTCGCTGGTTGTTATGTCAGAAACTTATCACTTATACTCGAAACGAGGGACCTCTGCAATCTCCACGACGCGGAGGTAAAAACACTGGTATAAGTGAAGATTTATTGACCCTCAAAACACGACGAAGACAACTTTAGTCGAAAATACACTTTGATTAATAATTAGGATAAAATCACATATATAAAAAATAACCAATCATATACTGAGCATAGTTTATGTCAATGGAATATAAGAATATGGTATATTATACAGAATATCATACGAGAAAAGAAAACCAATACTACACTGAATGATCATCACATTGAATCGAAACGGAAATAATGTTGAACAAAACTCATAATGAGTAAATCAATCGAATTTTGACTTTTCTTCCCGTCATATCAGTTGTGAACTCATGACTACAGACGAGATCAAACTTACTTACTTACTTACGCCTATTACTCCTCGTGAAGGAGCATAGGCCGCTCACCAGCATTCTCCATCCAACCCTGTCCTGGACAATCCTTTCTAGCTCCGTCCAGTTGTAATTAATCGTTTTCATATCTGCTTCTATTATCCGACGCAATGTGTTCTTTGGCCTTCCTCTTTTCGCTTCCCTTCAGGATTCCAAGTTAGGGCTTGCCTCGTGATGCAGTTTGACGATTTGCGTAATGTATGTCCTATCCATTTCCATCGTCTTTTCCTAATTTCTTCTTCAGCTGGAAGTTGGTTTGTTCTCTCCCATAGAAGGCTATTGCTGATGGTATCTAGCCAGTGGATGTTGAGTATCTTGCGTAGACAGTTATTTATAAATACTTGTACTTTCTTGATTGTGGTTGTTGTAGTTCTCCAAGTTTCAGCTCCATACAGTAGAACTGCCTTGACGTTCGTATTGAAGATTCTCACTTGGATATTGGTTGAAAGTTGTTTTGAGTTCCATATGTTCTTCAATTGTAGGAATGTGACCCTTGCTTTGCCAATCCTCGCCTTTACGTCTGCATCTGAACCTCCTTGTCCATCGACGATGCTTCCCAGGTATGTGAAGGACTCTACATCTTCCAGAGTTTCGCCATCAAGAGTGATTGTATTGCTGTTCTCCGCTTTGAATTTGAGGACCTTGGTTTTCCCTTTGTGTATACTGAGGCCTACTGATGCATAGACTGCTGCTACACTGGCTGTCTTCATCTGCATCTGTTCGTGTGTACGCGATAGGAGGGCTAGGTCATCTGCGAAGTCCAAATCGTCTAATTGGTTCTGAGCTGTCCATTGTATTCCGTGTTTTCCTTCAGATGTCGAGGTCTTCATAATCCAGTCGACCACCAGAAGAAAGAGGAAGGGAGAGAGTAAACAGCCTTGTCTGACTCCGGTCCTTACTTGGAATACATCTGTCAGCTGTCCTCCATGCACTACTTTGCACTGTAGTCCGTCGTATGAGTTCCGGATAATATTGACAATCTTCTCAGGAACTCCGTAGTGTCGAAGAAGTTTCCATAATGTCCTCCTATTTACACTGTCGAATGCATTTTCATAATCAATGAAGTTGATGTATAGTGACGAGTTCCACTCAACTGATTGTTCGACGATGATCCGTAGTGTTGCAATTTGGTCTGTGCACGACCGATCCTTACGGAATCCAGCTTGTTGATCTCGAAGTTGGGCGTCTACTGCATCCTTCATCCGGTTCAGCAACACTCTGTTGAAGACTTTCCCTGGTATTGACAGTAGTGTTATGCCTCTGTAGTTTTCACATTTGCTCAGATCTCCTTTCTTTGGAATCTTGACGAGGTGTCCTTCTTTCCAATCCATTGGCACTTGTTCCTCCTCCCAAATCTTTTTGAATAGAGGGTAAAGCATGCTTGTGGTTACTTTGACGTCTGATTTCAGTGCCTCAGCTGGTATGTTGTCGGGTCCTGCTGCTTTCCCGTTCTTGATTTGTCTGACGGCCATTCTAATTTCTTCCGTAGTTGGTGGATTGACATCTACAGGAAGATCTATGTGTGCTGCTTCGATGTCCACTGGATTCATTGGAGCCGGCCTATTCAGGAATTCCTCGAAGTATTCTACCCATCTGTTCCGCTGTTGTTGAATTTCAGTGATTCGCCTGCCTTCTTTGTCCTTGATCGGCCTCTCTGGTTTACTGTAATTCCCTGCTAGTTTCTTCGTTGTATCGTGAAGCTGTTTCATATTTCCTTCTCTAGCAGCTTTTTCTGCCGTCGTTGCTAGTTCTTCCACGTATTTCTTCTTGTCGACTCTAATGCTCCTCTTCACTTGTTTGTTTGCTTCTATGTATTCAGCTTGTGCTTGGACTTTCTCTGCTCGTGTTCGGCTGTTGTTTATTGCTGCCTTCTTGTTCTTCCTTTCTTTGATCTTGTCCAGTGTTTTTATAGAGATCCATTCCTTATGACGGTGTTTCTTTAGGCCCAGAACCTCTTGACACGTTGAAGTTAGTGCTTCCTTGATGCCTTTCCAGTTGTCCTCCATAGTAATTTCTTCTTCTTTCAGTAGATCTTGTAAGGCTTGGAACCTGTTGTTGAGAGCTATCTTGAATTCATTGAGTTTGTCAGTATCTCGAAGGAAGGCTGTATTGAACCTTTGTAGTGCTGTTTGTCCACTTGTCCAGTTCTTTTTTAGCTTCAGTTTTAAATTGGCTACAACTAGGTGGTGATCTGAAGCTACGTCAGCACCTCTCCTGGTTCTCACATCTCCCATTGTCCTTCGGAATTTTTTGTTGATGCAAATATGATCTATTTGGTTCTGTGTAGTGTGGTCCGGTGAGGATCCATGTAGCCTTGTGTATACGCTTGTGTGGAAATATTGTGCCTCCTATGACCAATTTGTTGAATGCACATAGATTTGCAAATCTTTCTCCATTTTCGTTTCTTTCTCCCAGTCCATGTCGTCCCATAATGTCTTCATATCCAGTGTTGTCTATTCCGACTTTGGCATTTAGATCTACCATCAGAATAGTTAGGTCCTTCCTTGGGCATTTCTCAATGATTGACTGTAGCCGCTCGTAGAACTGATCTTTAATGTCGTCGTTGCTATCATTGGTGGGTACATAACATTGGATAATATTCATTAAGATCCTCTCCTTCTTTGTTTTGAATGATGCTTTGATGATTCTGGATCCGTGAGATTACCATCCTACAAGTGCATTTCGTGCTACTTTGGACAGCATAAGAGCGACTCCCTGAGTGTGTGGAGCATTTTCCTCTTCGTGACCGGAGTATAGCAGCATCTCTCCCGTAGCTAGCTTTTTCTGTCCAGCTTGGGTCCAGTGGGTTTCGCTGATTCTCAGTACTGCTAAGTTGTATCTCCTCATTTCCATTGCTATTTGACTGGTCTTCCCGGTTTCCCACATTGTTCGAACGTTCCATGTATCTATAAAAATTTTTGCTCTGGTTGTTAGAAGGGGCATCGGCCTCGTGGCTTCCGAAGGAGCTCGGCTTTCACCATGAAGCGTCATAATTCTTCTAAATGGAGACCTTCTGACTCCCAGGGCAGAGTTTAAAAGGTTTGAATAATTTTTTTCTGATGTGTTTTTTTAGCGAGTTAGTTTTCTACGGGATGGGGACGCTAACCCCATGCCCAACCCTCCTCCTTTACCCGGGCTTGGGACCGGCAGCAACCCTATAAGAGCTACAGGCGGAGTTGACGAGATCAAACTGAAGACTTTCAAGTCTCCCAACGAGGATGTATTGTAATTAAATGAGAAAATACATTTTATCTTTGTTTTTCGTTCACAAAAAGTAAATGATCCTTCTATTCTTAAAATATTTTGTTAGCATTCAATACTAGAACTGGTAAACGATATTGACAAACGCTTGGTCATCTTTTGTCTTCAGATATTGTTACATTTCAGTTTTCTTTTGTCATTTAGTTCACTGTTTTAGGTAGTTTCAGTGGAGTTACATCTTACAATGTACAACCATTTATGATTATAAAATGTATAGATAGGCATTTAATTTGAACATCTCGAGTCATCAGTAAACATAGGCTTAACTTTTTTTCAACAACTATCTGTAGTTGTTGGAATAGTTCAACTTAATAATTCTTTTTTCTCAGAATTCAATTTTCCAGTTGGCTCTACTCCTCCTCTAATTAAAATCTTTCTTTTTTTGTAAAGGTTGTTCGAGTCCCTATAACTACGAAAGAATTAAGTCAACAAATTGTTCGACAATCTCAAAAATGGGCAGCTAATCATCAGAAACAATCTTAGGCACTTAAGTTCATCAATTGATTTAAATAATTGTCCATTACATTAAATGAAAAAATAACTAAAATAACAGTTGATCATTTACACGTTTACTCAGATTAAGTCAGCATGGTACAAATGAAGTAATCAACGCCATAAAATGATATATATATATTCTATCTATGCTATGCTTCCCTACATATATATATATATATATATCTTTCCTCTTCGAACACTGAATTACTCTTCATTTGTTCTTCTACAAAAAAGAATATGTTAACGATTTTCCTTTCTTTGTTAAGAATAAATAATAATTACGACTTTCATACACTTTCTGGTGCAATGTACTGTATTTACTCCGCCCAAACTGCTTTCACTGGATGAAATTCCCTACTTCATGGTAAACACTTAATCATATCACAAGTGAAATGGCTTTTTTCTCAATAAATGGATAGACTCCTCCCTTGTATTTACCACATCATTTTTCATTTAAAATGTCGTTTGTGCATATTGTTGTTGTTATTCTTTTTCCTTTTATCCAAACTACCTATTTACTTTACACATGGTTATTGTTTTTCTACGGACGTTAAATTACCACTCTCTCAGACTTATGCATCAGGGTGCAGGGTCGAGAGTAATATTTATCTAGACACATGAGATGGAAGCCTTTTTATGACTATATACATATAGCTTCATCCTTTCGGCTTTTACGTATCTTAATTTCTCTCTTTCTTGTTTTATTTTCGAATTTAATCAACCTACTCCAACTCTAACCTTTGATCACTATGCACTGTTTCGTGCTCACGTATGTGTATTACTACTGTACGACTGAAATAATTATCTTCATTGTGCATTTATTTCTCGTAAATACTACAATTCGAATTTATACATGTCACCTCCTTACTAATGATAATTATTACTCTTACAAAAAGCTTTTGATTATTTGTTATAAAGATTCAATTAAACAACTATGTACATAGAAGTTTTATTTTGAAAATCGTTTACTTCCTATTTGTCAAGTTATCTTAATTTTTTATGTATCATAAATAATGTGATACAAGTTTTGCTTGCGTGTTGTTTTTTTCTCTCTAACTATTCTGGCTTATATATTCTTTGTAAGAATATTTATTGTCAGACTTATCGAAATTTGTCAAAATGAAGTTCACTAGTGTAGTAAATTGTTTGTTTTATATTAATGAAAGCAAATCTAATCCAGCCAAGAAAGCTAAAGTTATCGAATATAGCTTATCAGGGGAGATTTCTTCTTTGTACAGTGTACTGAGATCTGGCTCACAACATATTTTGTTTGATGAGAAATATGTAAACACTTGAAGGTGAATTTTATGATTCTGAAAAGAGTACTACTTTGTAGGATATTAGTAATTCAAATTAATATGAAAATATTCAAGATGAAATCCAGTAGAGAATATTTTATTTATTATTAGCTTTATTCAGTATTTGATAGCGTGGACAGAACAACACTATGGAAACTTCTTCGACACTACGGCGTGCCTCAGAAGATAGTCAATATCATACGGAATTCCTATGATGGATTAAACTGCAAAATCGTGCATGGAGGACAGTTGACAAAGTCGTTCGAAGTGCAGACCGGTGTTAGGCAAGGTTGCTTACTCTCACCCTTTCTCTTTCTCCTGGTGATCGACTGGATCATGAAGACGTCAACATCTGAAGGGAAGCACGGGATACAATGGACATCTAGGATGCAGTTGGACGATCTGGACTTCGCAGATGATCTGGGCCTTCTATCCCAAACGCAACAACAAATGCAGAAGACGAACAGTGTGGCAGCAGTAGGTCTCAATATACACAAAGGGAAAAGCAGGATTCTCCGATACAACACAGAATGCACCAATCCAATCACAATTGACGGAGAAGATTTGGAAGATGTAAAAACCTTTACGTATTTGGGCAGCATCATTGATGAACAGGGTAGATCTGATGCAGATGTGAAGGCGCGGATCGGCAAAGCAAGAGCAGCATATTTACAACTGAGGAACATCTGGAACTCAAAGCAACTGTCAACTAACACCAAGGTCAGGATTTTCAATACAAATTTCAAGACAGTTCTACTGTATGGGGCAGAAAGCTGGAGAACTACGAAAGCCATCATCCAGAAAATACAGGTGTTTATTAACAGTTGTCTACGCAAAATACTTCAGATCCGTTGGCCGGACACTATCAGCAACAACGTACTGTGGGAGAGAACAAACCAGATCCCAGCGGAGGAAGAAGTCAGGAAGAAGCACTGGAACTGGATAGGATACACATTGAGGAAAGCACCCAACTACGTCACAAGACAAGCCCTCACATGGAATCCTCAAGGCCAAAGGAGAAGAGGAAGACCAAAGAACACATTACGCTGAGAAATGGAGATAGACATGAGAGAAATGAACAAGAATTGGATGGAACTAGAAAAGAAGGCCCAGGACAGAGTGAGTTGGAGGATGCTGGTCAGCGGCCTATGCTCCATTGGGAGTAACAGGCGTAAGTAAGTAAGTAAGTAGGTTATTCAGTATTATATTTTTGGTACAATGTAGAATTCTCAACACAGAGTATTTCAACAAGTTTCCGTTTCTGGCTTCCTGGTCGATCCTGACGATAAATATTGAGTGATCACCAGTTAGAAGTCCAGTCAATCGACATCTAAATAATGCATATTCTTTGCGCTGCATATTGTCAGAAACCACAATGTCTCTGATTAGGCCTTTTGTAACTTGTACACTTTTCAGAAACGCATCTGAGTAGGCTATGTGATTAATAGCCATAATGATGTATTAAAACAGACAAGATCAGATAACTTGTTGAAATATCAAGATGGTAGGTACAGGTATCTCAGATGTTCAACAGGTCACCATGTTTCTTACATTCAACATTGTATCAATTCAGAGACAATCTTCCCGCCTTGGATTCTCGTTAATCGTTTGACAAGAAAACTGCCATTTACTGAAATGTTTCATCAAAACATTTTCTGTAACTTGAATATGATTTTCGTCAGAAACTGATATCAACTAGAGATCATCAGGCAGTTATTTTAGACTCCTCAGAGATATTCACTCATGACCCCACAGGAAAGCGGAATCGGGGTCTTTAATCCTCTAAGGAGCACAATTCATTTATATCACTGAACTGGAATCCAATTGTTTACGCTACGCAAATTGATAGAAAAACAAAATCTCTTGAGTATGTTTTTCATCCCTGGATTTTTTAGAAATAAAAGTACAAAACCTCCATAAAAGATTATCGAATAGGTGGGATTCGTTGTATCTTAAATTTTTTTACGCATCAGCTTTAGGCAAATCAATGAGTTTTACGTGTAACAGCTGCATAATGAACAATTGGTCAGTAACGAATCTAGTAGTTTACAGGAGAATAGTCACGAGAAAGTCCATTTTTCCACTTGAAATCTGTCGAGAATATAATAACTTATATTTAAGAAATGAGTATGTACCGAATTTGTTTAGATCTTACAGAATGATCGAACGAATTTATATTTAAGATAATTAATTATTATAGTAGATCTGAGCGTTTTGTGTTATGTTGTTCACGAATTGCACAAATATTCATGAATGGAATAAACATATCATAATGTCGTCTGATAATTTTCAAGAAATCGGTATTCTTTATTTAGATATAATTCTGAATATTTTATGAGGTTTTAAAGGTGTTATTCTGAAGTTTTGCATATTAGAACGATAGTAATGACAACGGAAACATCACATTCATATTAACGCAACTTGAAATAAAGAATTCTTTCTCCAATTCAATGCTATTTAGTACCCACGTACTTAGGTTTCAATCAGTCTAGTGACACTGCTTATAAGCAGAATTAGGTTGACAACGGAGTCATCATTCGATACCTAACAGTTAAATTTTAAATGATTTAACTATTTTATACTCACCTATCTGATAACAGTTTCTTAATAAACTGAAAAGATTTTTTATAGCCTAATTGAAGACTATCAATAGATAGCTTAGAATCTTTGTTTATTACTCTCTGATCGAAAACGATGGATAAAAATAATAGTAGTTTAATATACACTAATTTATTGATTGTTTACACTATACATCCATAAAAACCTTTCGAAAGAAATATAAACGTTCTTTCTAAATTAAAATTCAATGAAAATTAAAAGTTAATATTATTTTTAAAAAAAAAACTTATAAATAAGTAAATAGATGTATATAGATTTATATACTTTTTTTACAATGATCAACAGCAACATATGGAGTCGGTTGTATGGGATCTGGTAATAGACGATTTGTAGTCTCATCCAAATCACAGTCTAGTAATGACTCATTTTGCCGATTTGATTTACATAATGGACCTAATAATAAAATATGTGGATTTTCTAAATGACGTGAATCTAAATCATCTATACGTACATTCAATGGAATATTTGTTCGTATTTGTTTTATTTCATGATGAAAATATTCATGAAATCGTTTCATATCCAATTCAGCTGATTCTAATTTTGTATTTAAATCATTTAGGCTACAAAAAAAGAACAACAAAGATGAAGAGAATGATATTTTAATTTTAACTAGTTCAACCTAACAACCAACTCATTTCTTTCAGTTTACTTTCTACTCACTCACTCACTCATACTCTTTTCTCGGCAACATTCTCCAATACTATTTACTTCTAAACATATTGATATTTTCAAGTATCTTCTATGTAATAATTGTTATCTCTCAACATTATTTATTCACCTTAAATTATTAATCGATATTACACACACACAAATGGTTATGTAAATATGAATATCGAGCACAGCGCACATGTGCACATATTTGCATGACATCCTATACATATTTAATGTAATAATAATAATTATTATTATTACTATCACTTATAAGTGGTATTGTTTATGTATTAGAAAATAAGTAGAAATGATTGTTAATAATATTATAGTTTTCTTGTAAATTAACTTCATAGATTATTAATTAATAATCATGAGTAGAAACATCTACTTTCGATTTTTTTGGATCACTGAGATAATATTGTGATATCACTTACCAAGCAAATAACAAGTTATAATTAAATCAACCTTATAGCGGTTTACTTTGAATGTAACAACATTACTAAAAGAAAGAGATAATTATTTCCACTAAAGAACTATTTATAAATGCGAACTGAATTCATGTAGTTTAATTAGTTTTATGACTTTTACATAATACTGATTACACATAAGTTAGTAATATAATACACATTTTACCTTAATGATTATTAAAACTACTTGAAAACTTATTATTAGTAGGCAACTGAAACTTCATATCTACATTATGAAACATCAACATATTTTCTCGTTAAATCTGTGGAAGCTTTTTTTGTAAAGTTTGGAATGAAACAGCTACTTGAATTGAAAATGTATTAACTATTTTCATGTAACAAACACTGATAACAATGGTTACGCCTACTAAGAACCTTTCTCAATAAAATTTATATTCTTTACAGCACAATTTGTTTGTATGCTTATTCACTATCGATTCTGTCAGTCAGTCAAACGCAACGTGGAACCGGGCATATGTGTACATCGGTTCAAATTACCACACGCCAATAGGACAGAGAGATGAATTCTGCGTCACAATAATTAAGTAACCTTATTGTTGTCGTACGTCATTTTACTAATTGTAAAACATTATTGATGCGTTCGGGTGACATGGCTTAAAATCGATCATATTGATACAGTAGAATTAATTATCTTTATTTGAATGTGATGCTTAGTTCCTGTTGAGATTAGACGAATAAGAGAGAATAATAAACTTTGAAAAGTATTGTTTGAAACGCCTATACTCGCGTTACTAAATGTGTAATTACTTACCCTTAGCTCATGTAGATTTTATATTTTCCAGATGGCTTGTTTTTATCTAACTCATTTACTGTTATCATATTTTTTCTATTCTAAAATTGTTACGAAGTAATCATAAGGCCTATTATTTCAATTTCATGTATTGATTTCATGTCATGATACACACTGTAATGTCTTATTTGTGGTGCGTTGCGGTCCTATTATTCATACATTTAATCGTATGGATTTTTGAGTCAAATAAACGGGATTAGATCGGTTGTTTCATTCTTGTGTTCTGATAGTTTTGAGGAAGTGAAATTCTGCTTACCTACCCAGCATTTGGATAGCAAGTCAATGAGTTGAAGCACTGGTGTAGACACTCACAAGGTCAAGGTGAACGTAACAGATCCACAAACCATATCATTTTTTTTCGTTTTTTCTAATGTTCGATCTAATTTCTTTATTCATAATTATTTCTTATATATATATTTCCACTACAGTCGATATTATTTATCTCTAATTTATATGATAGTATTCTCTCTCACTGTGTTGACTTGAGGTATAGTAACATGAATTGATATAATTTCGTCCCTGATCTTATAAGCGCTGTTCAATTTGGTCTGTATATTCAGTTGATGATATTTTCAAATTTATTAGAATGTCTCTACATTACAACCCTTCTTTATAGTTGACTTAGTGACCTGAAACTGAATGTTCCACGTTTTGTGATTATATCCTACGTCGTTTGTAAATTATATATTTTATCATACTAAGAAAGTTTGAAAAAGATAGTCAGTGACTAAGACAACGGAACATTTTATGAAGTAATTATCTACTTAGCTAGAACTGAACTATGCCGTGAGGTGAAAGTTGTCCGATTAAGGTCGAAGAAGTAAGCACTATGCCTTTTGAGTATAAAGATGATGATATGGGTTGAAATTAGTCCCATTGAAGGATGTGCATTATCTTTTTTATTTTCATCTAAATATTGGAGCTTAATATTATTCCATAAACTTCATTAGATAGTTTTATTCGTTCTGTCGAACAATTATTTCCATATTTTGCATTCCACTACTGTTAATATTATTACTTTCAGCTGTTAATTTTTCGTCTCCTTATTTACTGTTATTGGTAGGCTACCATTTAAATCTCGACTTCGTTGACTTCACAGATGACGGCTTCTATTTAATTTAATATATGAGGGAGATTAATGAACTTCGCCAATAACGAAAACTGAACTGCTTTATGGTACACAAAAGGCTAAAAAAACCATTTTATCGTGCTAAGAGTGAATAAGATCTGGTTAATTTTGAAACTAACTCAATGAAAATTATTGAAGGTGATTTCGAATGTAACTAGAAGTCTTCCGTTCAACAAATTATAATATTTAGAGTTTGACTACTAACAAGTAGTAAAACTTTATTTTCTAAGTCTACAAATCTGTGTAATTCAGATTAGAGATAAGAAGCACTTTTTGATTACTGGATTTACTTTAGATTCGATAGTATTTTTGCAATACATAATACCTAACGCTTTTTCAAAACATTTGGATGCCATTATTTAGTTAAGAAAAGAAAATCGAATTTTCTGCCTATATACTTTAAACTGTTGGTGTGAAGGCCAGTGTGACATTCGGTTGATCAAACCAAAGTTGATACGGAAGGGTTCGAACATGTGAATAACTAGTTGAAAGGCAAGCGCTTTAACAACTAGATCACCACATCACTTGTTATGTATTATAACTATTTATAAGGATAACCAAGTTCAAATGACACTATAAATTATTACTTTTTACAACTATGCTAACAAGAATACCAAAGGGCTGAATTACAGGAACAATTCCACAACATTTATTATGAATTGAAAATTTATTGTTTTAAAATAAATATAAATATATACACATTTACCTATCTTCTAAATCCGCAAGACGAATTCCATTATCCATTAATAATTTTTCGTTTTCTGATAATGGTTCACCAGGACGTCTGATTAATAATAAACCTTTTCGCATACATCGACTAAAATCTTCCTCGGATAAACTTAATGACTCATGAGTTAGATTTCTCAGGAAGTGAACAGCACACGACTATAAAAGTATGATAAAAGAAAACAGGAGACAATTAATTGACAAATAATGTTTTTTTCCGTAACATCAGTTGTTGTTATTCTCTTTTTCTTTATTCTTTCATAATAAATAAACTAACGTATCAATCTGGATTACCACGTTAAAAACAGTGGAGTCATGCTTATGTACGTAAAATTTAATCTATTGACTAAATAATTTAAAATGTCGTTAAATAGAGCTTTCTATCATAGCAAGTAGCTAGTTTTTTGGAGATTTCGCTTTTAACAATTTTACACATAAAAGCTGTAACACTTCAGTAACAGCAACATGAAATGTCATACTTTCTAGATAAAAACGAATTATGCTCGAAAAACCCAGAAAATTACAACACAAACTTAATTTTTTTGATGAATATATAACTGAAGGCTATTGCTTCATTGGTTGGTTGTTTTCAGAATGTCGCCCCTAAATGCCCTGGTACGGCCGAGAGTGGGGAGAGTCAACTCTCCCTCTTGAAATGCTCTCACATGGCCACGTGCATACAACCACTGACAGGGAAGTCCTACTCACTACCTTCTCGCTGTGGGGCGTTGTTTACGAAATTGATAGGACAAAAGGCGAATGTCCGGCGCTTTAACTGGGTTGGTGGATATAGAGGATCCACATAGGGGAGTTGGAAAATCCTGATTCCAAACCAATGGTGTACATGGGCTCCAGGATCCTAAGGGAACAAATGGCGTATGAACAAATTGTTGGTCACCGGTTACCATGGGAATGCATCTCCTGACGTTGCGCTACTGCCTTGCGGATTAGACCTTTAAGTCAAAGGTTCTGAGTGTGGCCCCCTAAGAAAACCACCTGTTTCAGTCTGGGCACCCGGACAGTATCGTAGCCCTCACACAAATCGAATGGTTTGTGTCGCATATCTGTTTGGTGCCTTCTTGTACCTATGTTTATGTGTTTAAATATATAAATAAATAGATATCAGAATGTCAGACACTCACTAGATAGCTTTGTGTTGATTGAATAAAACTTGGGAAATTCAATAAGAAAATATTTTATGGTTTTCGGATAGAGTGAACTTAAATGTTGATCAAGAGACAAGTTTGATTTGTTGAAGGAAGCGGTTTAACTTTGTTAATGATGTTTGATTCCCAAAGACAATGTATTACGAAATCAGTTGTAAGATCATATATTGATTTAGGGTAGTTTTCATTCAACTGACTTCTAGTACGCTTTTCTTTCTATGAATTAATTTAATGTGATTTTTGTTCATTTAACTGGTAGTACACTTTTACTGTATTGATTAATTCAGTATGACACGTTCATGTGACATTTGTTTAGGTTAGAAAATGCCCTGACTAATAATCACTGAATGTAACCGATATGTAATTGAATGAATTCAAATGTCAATTGATCTTCTTTGATCTCTCCATTAAGTAACTCTTCTTTACTAGATTTTTCCTACGAAGTAGCCGGGGATAAAAGAGAAGGAGGCTGTGGTATACTGTTATGGAATTTGCTATTTTTGAAGGAATTACGAGATCACCTAAAATCGGCGAACGGAACGAAGGATCGACGACACAGCAACAAGACAAACTAAAGTATTCCGATGCGTTTCAGCCCTGCTAACTAGAGAGAGAAGACCCGGTTCAGATGAAGGAAAGGTATATTCCACAAGCACCAAGAAGCACGAACAATGAGCAAACAACTCAAGCATATATTATAGCATAAAAAGGTCCTTGGGAAATGTCACAAAATAGCATATAAAGAGGGAACGAATCAATGACATTAAGGGTCTTGTCAAGTGGGAAATACAATCTGAAGGTAGAAATGGGCACATTTGGTGCGAAAATCAGAAATTTAAATTTCGAAAGTAAAATTACAAAAATAAAACGTCTATCATGTGATTCCTGGGGATCTAGCATCCCCAACAGAATCACTGTTATTGGTCATATCGAATTTGCTGATTTACAATCATAAACAGTGCATAACATTATCAACGATAAAATGTTTGCTGTGTTGATACTTTGTAGGATGTTTACTAAATTATTTTCAGTTGCAATGAAATAGTAATAATAATGGACAGTTTAAGTTTAGCATACTGTTTTATATAACAATCCAAAGAGGAATACTTGCTATTTCAGCTAGAAAACAATTGTTCATCATTACTGAATCAATATTGCTCTAAAGTGCCTAGATCCAATGTCATATCACCAGCTATTAAACCAATATATATACGGGTAATGGAAGAGTACGCGTATACACTTTTTGTATGTAGTAAGGTTTTCCCTAAGACAACAGGCATCTGAAACGATACTGCCTCTCCACAACAGGAGAGCGTTATAGAATATCGGTCTTAAAAATAGCACACCTTACTTTGCCCCGCAGACTCCCATCCCCAGCAGTGAGGCCTTAAAAGTGTGACAGTAACTTGCCTAAAACTAATCACAAAAAAGGTTATGACAGCGCTCAAGCAACTGTTCCTTAACCATAGCAGTCACGCTTCTAGGTCATCAAGACTACCCTCTAACCCATTTCCATTTTCAATTATCTCAAGAATAAGTATCCTTCCACGATGTGTGGGACCATAAAGTAAGAAACCGTCTTTCTGTCTCTAACTGCACTCGGAATCATTTCATGTGTAATCAAACCTCATCCTAATTAACTAATATTCATTTTTTCTGTGGTTACTGAGGTGAATTGAATCTTGAATAGTCATTATGAAGTAAAGTCAGTAAAAGGTTTATAAGACATAAAAAAAGTCTGTATCACATTCATTTAACAATTAAGTACAGTTAATAACAGTAAAACTTTGTTAGGAGCCAATCAGGTCTCGTGGTTTAAATTAGTAGAATATCAAAAGAACAATTTAGAGATCACTGGTTTGACTATATATAAATGTAATTTAAATTTTCTTAGAACATTACTATTCATCTTTAAACTTTATTACTCATATGCTCACCAAAGTCATATTAGTAATTACAAAATTTACTTCGTACTATACATAGAAGCAGTATGGATTGAAAAAAAAGTTTTATAAATAAAATACAGTGAAACACTTACTAAATTCGTGAAGAAATAACCAGCTTCACCACTATTCAGTCTATTCTGATTAGCAAATCTCATAATAAATTGTAAATTAGAATAGATTAATGGTGGATTTGAATTCAATACAATCCAAATTAGTGTCGGTAAAAAATCGTCAGCATTAGCGGTATCTTCTTGTTCAAATACAACATTATTAGTTATATTCACAGAGTTATTCATGACATTATTTTGTACATGAGTTGAATTGTTATTTTCATTTTGACTAGGCATATAATCAGGTGTTGGGCTTTTATCATTATTATCGTTGTTAGATAAATATTGTTGTGTTATAGCGGCATAATTTCGATAGTGAGCTCTTAATGCATCGAATACACTACGACAACACTGAACTATTTGATTTAATTTATCTTCAGATGCAAGTAATGTATTCACTTTGATAAGAGCTAAATTAAAACAAATAAAATGAAATAGAAATATAATCGCTAAAAATTAATCAAGACATGGTATCAGTCTGTGACTTTTTTAATGAGTCATTTTTTAAGGTGTAGAATACCTAGTTGGGGTTCACATGATAATTGTGAACAATGGATACGTTGAGCGATATGACACAGAATTGGTTGCAGTAACGCAGATGCATTCACGTTTTGTCCCCTCTTAGATCATGTGTTTTAGAATCGTTTTACACCTTTATTTTGCAAATTCAACCTTTTTTATGCCTAATCTTTTTTACTACCATTGATGTTAGTAATAATGATTCTACTGCTGTGACATTTATCTTGATAATTGTTTCGTTGATATGGTGTGGCAGCTTGACGCGATGTTTCTATTTGCCAGATTGCACGTTGCTTATAATTAACTGAAAATTAGCTTTTAAACAGGTCTCTTAATACGCAAGCATTTCTAGAAAGCAACTACATAGATAATGGTTAACGTGATAAGAATTTGATATTAAAATACCTAGAGAAATGAAGCAGTAAATAATATCGTACGGACAGTCTTATCAACCATAAAGTCATTACTTTCAATCTTGTAACCACTTTTCCTATCTTATTTAACTTTATTAGACCGTTTACATTATTCGATCTGAAGACAGTATTGGATATGTATAAAATTGGTGCTATCTATACTGCAAATGATACACCGTACTTCCTTTTCTGTGTAAAAATACATCTTGACTTAGACTGATAGTAGGTTGTTTACTGATTTATGAAGATATTCAGAAGAATATTAGTTAATTCGGCAAGGTAGGGCAGATTGAACTATTCTTCTAAATAAGTAATCTGATCGACACTATCTAATCATCAAGATGGATAAGTCAAGATTTACAACACCATGCATACATTTGCCAACTGCAATTCAGGAAAAACTAGATCATTAATGTATGTAGTTAGTTCAACTTTTAAGAAGTCATTAAGTTATTGTAAATAACCTTTGGAAATAAATGATTAACGCGCTTTGATCATTTCATCATATTAACTGTTGTCTACAGGTTATATTTATACAATGGAATAAGAAAGATGATATACGTAATTAACACGCTTCTATGTACGTGTACGTACGTGTGTGGGTGATCAGTTCACTAGCCTATTCATCCAAAATTAAAAACTGATGCTTAAATTACGAACCTACGTAAGGCATATACACCAAATAATTTGTTGAAGTACAACTAAATATGATTATTTCAGTTAGGCAGTAGATAGTGCTATTGAATACAGTAGCTTAAATGTTGGATCTACAATAGTCTAGAACAAAAGTCTTGAATAATTATTCCATTAAAGGTCATATGTGTTACACACTTGAGTTTTACTGATACTCAATAACGATTAGTTATCTCTCAAATTGATTTTTTAAATACTTACTAAAAACTCAGTGTTAATAAATATTGACTTAAAGACATTATATTGTTTTAAAAATGTGCAAACGAGAGAAAATACAACAAACACAAAAAATTAGAACAACACATATAAGCGAACAATTGTTTTCAATTAGATCGTCATCAGGCTTTACTCTAATATACATGAATATTTATACGAAAATGTTAAACCAATCAAGGCAATATGAGTCAATAATCACAATGAAATAGAATAAGTCACTACACATAAAATAGGTAAAAGTACAAGTTGATAGTACGAAGACAGGTGAACAGATAGTGGTAAGAATAATAAACTATAATAACAAAACTCTTATCAATAGTTAATCGTTGGAAATAGAAGGTCAAATAAACATGGGTAAATAGACTAGGAATAGTAATCACAAAACCTTAAAAATCATTACGTAATAAGATGTGTGTAAATAATTAGATAGTGAAGAATACAAAGAGGCGGAAAATTACAAACAAATAATGGATGTGGAAATAAGGTTAACAATAACACAAATAGAATAAAATAAATAATGATTATAATAAATTTTTTTTTTTTTTTTTTTTTTTTTTTTTTTTTTTTTTTTTTTTTTTTTTTTTTTTTTTTTTTTTTTTTTTTTTTTTTTTTTTTTTTTTTTTTTTTTTTTTTTTTTTTTTTTTTTTTTTTTTTTTTTTTTTTTTTTTTTTTTTTTTTTTTTTTTTTTTTTTTTTTTTTTTTTTTTTTTTTTTTTTTTTTTTTTTTTTTTTTTTTTTTTTTTTTATTTTTTTATTTTTTTTTATTTTTTTTTATTTTTTTATTTTTATTTTTATTTTAAATTTTATTATAATCATTATTTATTTTATTCTATTTGTGTTATTGTTAACCTTATTTCCACATCCATTATTTGTTTGTCATTATCCGCCTCTTTGTATTCTTCACTATCTAATTATTTACACACATCTTATTACGTAATGATTTTTAAGGTTTTGTGATTACTATTCCTAGTCTATTTACCCATGTTTATTTGACCTTCTATTTCCAACGATTAACTATTGATAAGAGTTTTGTTATTATAGTTTATTATTCTTACCACTATCTGTTCACCTGTCTTCGTACTATCAACTTGTACTTTTACCTATTTTATGTGTAGTGACTTATTCTATTTCATTGTGATTATTGACTCATATTGCCTTGATTGGTTTAACATTTTCGTATAAATATTCATGTATATTAGAGTAAAGCCTGATGACGATCTAATTGAAAACAATTGTTCGCTTATATGTGTTGTTCTAATTTTCACAATGGGAATCTTTAATAAACACAAAAAAGTTGTAATTCTAATTGAACGAATCACCATAACGAATTTACAAGATACTACTTTATTTATTATCGTCGATCAAAAAGATATGATTCATTATAAAATTAGTCCCATGTGTTTATATAATTGGTTGTTACATAGTTAAGATGTACCAATTGTCAAACAAACTATTTGATGTCAGATATAAATTGTTATAAACGAGAAATAAGTGATTCATAAAAAAGTAAAATTTCAAGTTATTAATATTTAATTCAACTGTAAGTGTACATTTCACTCATAGGTTTCCACAAATATCATTAAGATTATCATTTCTCTACTTTTACTGAGATCTATTTAAGTGACTAGATTATCACTATTTTATCCTAAAACTTCAAAACTTAATGCATTCTATGCTAGATGTGATTATTGAATCCAATAATAAGTTCAGTCAGTCAGTCAGCTACAACGTAGGACCAGGCACACATGTGCATCGGTCCAGGTTGCCATACCGCATCAGCACAACAAGATGAACACCGGATTCATAGCAGTGGTTAGGTCAAAGGTAGTAATATGTAGGAGAAAGATTGCATATAGAGATATAGTACAAGAAGAAAGAATTGGTTCGTAGAAAGAAAGATATGAAGTGTTTTTAAACTCTTAGTTTAAGGGAAGACAGAGAGTGTATACACCGACGCCATTGTGATCGATTCTGAGCCATGTCACCAAGAGTCTCCAACCATCGGTTACGATAGTCACGCGGACCCCAACCAAGTAGTCTGCATCTACCAACATGGCTCAGACTAGAAGTTAGTGACTTCAATCACTGATGCCACGTTTTGGTTTGGCCTCCCCTAACTTTCTTCCAACCATTTCCAATACCGGATAGCATTGCACGTCGTGGTAATCGGTGTTCAGGCATACGTAACACGTGGCCCAACCATCTCAGTCGATGAAGATTCATAACCTCATCAACTGATTTACCATCATCCCTTAACACCCTGCGTCTAGCCTCACTATTACTTACCCGGTGATCCCAGCAGACGCCAGCAATATTTCTAAGGCATCTGTGGTCGAATACTAGTAGCTTACGAGTGTCTTCTACTCTTAATGGCCATGTTTCGCTGCCGTAAATTAAAACAGAACGGACTGCCGTTTAGCCGAACAGCACATAGACGACTGTTGACGGGGATCCACTCTAGCAGTGCTTGTTCCGCCCTCATGCTTAGTGCTATGCCTACACCTGCCAGTCCACGAGAACTGGCCATCGGGTCACCAGATACACGGAGGGTGTATCTCGTTGGCTCTCCGTTTTGCCGAGGTGAGGTCAAGTGAATGACCACACTGGAATCCTGTATGCGTGTTTCGGAGACACAGTATACATCAATGGAAAGAGACTAGGGTTCTAGCCAAGGAAGCCTGCTGACCGATTTGACATAGAGTGCGTACGTTGAAAGTTCCAATGTGTAGTTTGGAGCGAGGTTTCAGTAGACCTGGGACTGTTTTGAGCACTAGAATCGTTGGCTATGGTGACACTTGAGGAGGAAGCCGAAAGAGGAAGTTTAGAGTTGAAAGTCGATGTAGGAGCAATAATAGGAAGTGAAGACGGAGGTTGATTACGAATACAGTGGTCTTGAGTGCTGTTAGAGGTATGAGGGCGATTATTACTTCCCGGTTGCCCACACCGTGGAAGGGTTCTTCTGGAGGTACCTGAAAAGGAAATTGGATTAGAGGCGGTTTCAGTGACCTGAGAGCGTGACCGCAGTGTTCAAGGGACAACTGCTTGAGGCCGGTCGCGCACGGCCTTTTCGTGGGAGGTTTTTGACGTGTTAGCTCCGTTCTTCAAAGGGCCTTACCGCCGGAGACGGAAATCCGTGAGGTAAGGTGAGGTGTGCATTTTTAGGGTCGACCTTTTCTAACCACACCCCTCCTTGTGAGAAGGCAGCATCGCTGTCATGTTGGTTGTCTGAAGGAAACACCTTACTGCTGTCACACCTCTGTACAGTCAGCAGTATGACTTCGCCTTCGGACCTTGGGTTTGTTGCTTTTAGTCTTACCGCTCTTCAACCGACCTGTCTGACATGGTAGGACCTTGAGGAACGGTTGTTCCAGCCAGTATAGCTCAGTTGCTTCATCACGATAGAAAAGCCCGACCACCACGTCAAGGTAGCAACAACGGTCGGGCAATAATAAGTTCGGGGAATAACTGTTCACCATTTAATTATTAAATTGGTTACATAGATAGTATATGAATATTTAGTGCTACCTTTATGAACAAGAACTCAGGTGGGGATAACCAATTTATTGTTTAATGCTAAATTACAGTGCCTTCTTAAAATACGAAAACCATACACTAAATACATTATTTGCACGTCTTTTTTAGGCTTTCTCGTGCATGCTTCATAATTCTTCCAATTCTGTTGTTATTACGATTGCGCTCTATTTCCCTTCCTGTTCTCTTTAATCCAATCTTCTGCTAGCAGGCTGTCTACTTCTGATGGGTACTACATCGTACTCATATATATCAGCATAAGTATCATACACTGTACTAGGTCATAAATTGAAATCATAAAAACATTTGGTGGAAAATAATTAATTTAATAGTTGAATTCATGAATCAATTAAAGCTAGACCACCATGGAAAACCTGGAAGCACTGGACGACCTTTTCGTCCTAGTGTGAGACTCCTTAGCAGTGCACATCCGCGATCCCGCCCGTGGGATCCGAACCCATGATTCATCGGCCTCGCACTTGAACGCTTAACCTCTGGATCACTGAGCCAGCATCCAACGGTGTTGATGTCTAACTTCAACCAATCCACGAAAATAAATATCTTACACAAGTTTTCTTTTTATAGGACGAAGCTCACAGCCTATATATTTATGGAAAAACAGGTTTTTTCTATTGACTGGTTGAGAACCATTACCAAATTACTCGTCTCCATAAAAAGGTGGTGTAAACGGTTTGCATCTTTCCACTTCGAAATTATTATATGTTTACGCTATTAGTGAACATTTCCTGGATGTCCGATTTCTATTTAAATATTCGTAGCACATATTCCGTTTATTTGTGTCAGTGTACCGGACACTGTTTGCGCTACGAGTAAATGTAAGTATATCGATTTATAAACTAACCGTAAACAATACCCATTTTCACATTTCCATAATTCCTGGAGTATCCCAAGAAAAAAACTGAGTGTAAAGGTTAAACTCGTGACTTTATTATTAATCAACAATCATAAGTCATGCACACAAAATTTACGTATTCTTACCAAATGTTGCTAGATCTAAATGGGCAAGTTCCTCTGACGAATTGGGATTAATCGGTGAATCAAGCAAGTAGGGAGTTACCCAATGCAATGATCGAATTTTTTCCTGTAATTTCAAATCTATTTCCTCATCGTCCGTTGTAGGTGAAGCAAAAGCCCAAAAATAAATCCAAGTTGTAACGAAACGTTCAACTGAGTTTAAAACAGATTCTTTGGTTTTTGGTGACAAATTCTGAAATGGATTAAAATTGCTTTTTAATAAAAAGGAATAAATCAATGAATAAAAAGTTATTTCTGAAACATTGTATCGAGATTTTTCTCATAACGTCCCAATAAAAATTAAATGTTTTCAATTAGATAGTCATCAGGCTTTACTCTAATATACATGAATATTTATACGAAAATGTTAAACCAATCAAGGCAATATGAGTCAATAATCACAATGAAATAGAATAAGTCTCTACACATAATAGGTAAAACTACAAGTTGATAGTAGGAAGACAGGTGAACTGATAACAGTAAGAATAATAAAATACGATAACAAAAGTCTTATCAATAGTTAAACGGTGGAAATAGAAGGTTAAACATGGGTAAATAGACTAGGAATAGTAATCATAAAACATTAAAATCATTACGTAATAAGATGTGTGTAAATAATTAGATAGTGAAGAATACAAAGAGGCGGAAAATTACAAACAAATAATGGATGTGGAAATAAGGTTAATGATAACAAAGTAGAATAAAATAAATAATTCTAATAATAGAAATTAAAAAAACTTTTTTCGTTAGTTAAGTTATAACTGGCCATGGAAGGGATAGGGGGGTTACGTATTTTATATTAGAGTAAAGCCTGATGACTATCTAATTGAAAACAATTGTTCGCTTATATGTGTTGTTCTAATTTTCACAATGGGAATCTTTAATATTCAAAAATTAAATGAACAACGAAGATTCTGTGGTCGACGGAATATTGATTACTTTCAGAACGAAATATTTTAACCGGAAAACGATAAAAAATAGGATATATGGTGGATTTATCACCCATGAAGGTCCTCTGACTAACGAGAATAGACATTTCGCAATCTGAAAATAATAATCACAGTAATAATAATAAATTATTTCCACCCTTTTCCAGAACATGGCCTTGTATCCCTAAATCATACAACAATATGGCATTGGCAATGAGTTTCATCTACCCAGTGCTTTACGCGAAGGTCTCGTTAATGAGACAATACATTCCTTAACAAAATTTAACTGTGCTCAAAACAATGACATCTATTTGGGTGGAATTAGGTTCTTTAACCATGATTAAATCACTCAGCTTAGTATAAAGCTAAATAGAAACATCCTATTGAGCTGCAGATCTCTAGTCTCAACATTCATTTGGAAACAGAAACTATAACACAATAAATATTTGTTTACCATGAGCATGATTATGTTTAAAATTTGGCTGAAGGTGGAGACATTCTAAACTAACTCACGACCTGGAAGCAACGAATCCTGTTACTTGTTAGTAAGCTTCTGAAGTATCACAATTTGGATTATATGACGGCAATTAGTATCTTAGACGCAATCGGTGGCGGAATTAGATATGGGCTGTTTATAAAGATAGGCGTTATAATAAAAACAGTTTGGAATAATGGAATACCTTGTCTTTCATACCCTAAAACAATACAGAAACTCTCAGCCAGAATTTTCATTGTTAAAATTAGTTGAAGTGAACTGGCTGAATCGGGAGTCATACAAAGTGGTCCTTAATACATCTGAGAATACTAAGTTAGAAATGAAGACTGTCTCAATGGCTCTGGTTAGAAGGACCTCTATGGTGATACCACATTTCCCGAAAGGTTATCTCGAGAACTCTTAGCAATAATAGAAACGCTCGGTAGTATTTGCAGTGAAACTTAATAACCAAGAAGAGATTTATGTACACAGTTGCTAGCCCATCATTTTATACGGAGTTTAATATTACTGCTGTTACCCAGACAGAATAAGTGGACGGCGGTTCAAATTTAGAACTTGATGGTTGAAACTAAAGTGTTTTACCAACAAAGCCACTGCTCCCCAAAAAAAATCATTTGCCAAGCACAGATTCATTTACACTAAGGGCTAATGATACTACTGGGTTGATTAAATGAAAGTAGATGGATGAGGTTAGAATCTACAATCGAGCAATTAGAAGCTGAGTTCTTTAATTACTAAATCTACTTGAAAGGCTCAAAATTAATCACTTAACAAGTCGAGATCATAAAGTATATTATATATCAATATGAATGGGAAACTAACGTACTGAATACATAGGATTATTTGAAATACGGTTTGAAAGGTTGTGATAAAAGTCTTGCACAATCATTGAGGCTTGATTAATATTTGAACTTCGAATAGGCTCCAACTGTTCCATAAGCTTTGAAACCTTGTGAAAATTTCAGTTACTAAATTTGAATACCTACATGGCGGGAAATGTCGGCATTTGCAGAGGCTCGAAGGGTGTTTAGAAATGTTTTAAATTCTTTTTCGGCTTGTAAACACTCTTCTGGGTTCACTGAAATTTGGTCCCGGTTATCATCTGAGATATTTTACAGAATGGCCGTTCCTTACCTCGAGGAACCTTAAATATATTTTTGATAGAAGTTGTATTCCTTCCAGTGCTATGTTTAGGCTTAACCTCTACTTCCGAATTTGGAGTTGAAAGTGATGAAGTGGAGGAAGCCTGACGAAAATTCGATTGTCTTTGATGAGCGTTGCGATAGCACACGGAACAATATCCATCCCATGAAGGATTCCCATAAAAGCCACACTTATTTTTACATGACAAACTTGATACTTGAAGACGAGATGGAGGGTAGTTTGTATTCATCGTAAGGATGTTCCCCGGTCAGTTGAATACAGCTTATATTTTCAAAAAAAACCATAATACATTCATTATACGTATACATAAACTATAACATTTACAAATCTTCTGAATGATATGCTTGAACATAGAGATATTAGAACACTAAGATTTAACTAATATAAATCTCTAAAGTGCTTACAACAATATGCATATACCAGTTTCCAGCTACTGCTTAACTCGACGCGCGATGTTGGCTGACGTAGAAGCAGGTAGGAAGAATGTTAGGGGTGGTCAAGCCAAAACGTCAAATCAGTCCATGAAGTCGATGACTGTTGGAATGAGTCATTTTTTAAGGTGTAGAATACCTAGTTGGTGTTCACATGATAATCGTGAACAATCGATACGTCGAGTGAAATGACATAGAATTGGTTTCAGTAACGCAGATGCATTCACGTTTTGTCCCCTCTTAGATCATGTGTTTCAGAATCATTTAACGCCTTTTGTTTCGCAAATTCATCCATCCTGAGTAACCTTCTTTATGGTTAATCTTCTTTACCATTGTTGATATTGTTTATAGATAACTTCACATTTCTCTGTCGTGATAAGGCATGGGGATTTGAACTTATGGGTATATGCGCTAGGTTCTATGTTGACAACGGTCAGCTGACTGCTTACCTCGACTTTATGAAAAAAGAACTTTCAGTTTTATATTCATTTATTGCATATATACTATTTCTGGATAGTGACTAATGTCACGTCCTTCTAGCCCCTGGTGCTGATCTAATTCTGCTGATCGAATTACAATGTATCAACTAATCTGAAAAGTTTAACAGTGGGTTCATTGCGTTTTGATATTATGTGGTTGGATGTATCTGACATTATACCCTAGACCCAGATTTTGTGACATTTGGTGCCATAGGTTTCCAACATCCAGGAGAAGATATGGAGGCAATATGATACTGATTGTTAGACGTTTCGTCGAATTCAACTTATTAGCTGATTGGAATAAAAGAATTAAAAGTGAGTGGTGTATGAATACTTCGATAACCACCTAGTGGCTGTGAAAACAAACAACACCAAAATTTAGGATAATTTGAGCAAGTTAGGAGAATTAAATTTGAGACTGTATTACATTTGGTGTGGGGAAACAGTTGAAGTCGGTTAATCCGCCAGATGAGCAAGGAGGCAGACGATAACTTAATGTGAAACAAAGCAGAGTTGACTGGGATTATAAAGTTACACAGACCATAGGATTATTCACTTTTGAAATAAGGTGGGGTCGAGGAAAGAGCCTATAACTCATTCTCCGCAGACTTTTTCTTCTACATAGCGACATCGAGATTTTGAAGATTGTTGCCATATGCTTAAGTGACTGCTTTGTGCAGAAACAAGTCAGTTTATAAGACTGGGAACCCAAAGTATCCTGAATGGTCAAGTCAATTTCTATATACTGGCTTGACATATGATGCTGAATGGAGTGGAAAAAAATTGGAAAAGCTTGACCACTAGACAAATTTATCAAGTCACCGATAGTCTGAATTGTTATATCTAAGATTTTTGAATGAAGTCCTTGAAGTGATAAATACTTCATGATGAAAACTATGTCTTGTCTGAAATAATTGCAAAACCGCTGGCAATCCTGTTTGGCTTATCACAGCAAGAATCTAAACTTCCAAGTAACTGGTGTACAAACTGGGGACAAACATTTGGTTAATAAACACCACCCACTTAGCCTTACTAGTATTGTTACTAGTTTGATGAAAAAAATATCCGGTGCTACTACTCTACATCGATAAGAAGAGAATACTCTTCTAGCCACTGTTTCAGAGCAAGTTCACCAATTTTTCACTGAAGGAAAAGATCAAACTGCAGAGGAAGATAGGAATATTGTGGTAGATGCAATCTCTATTAAGTTACATAACGATTTCGTGAAAATATCTCCTCTAGATCCTAGTCGGTCAGTTACACACACTGTGGAAGTTGGCCTATATGTCAAACGGGTTAAGTTGCTACATCACAATAACAGCTAGATGGAAACGTCAAAACGAATCCTAGAGTAGTAGTAAGAACAGCAGAAAAGATTAGAAAACAAATAACACAACCCCAAAGAAGAGGAATTCGTTAAGTAAAAAAGCACAAGATAGTTTGAAACCTAGTATCTCAAAGAAGGTAGAGTAAATGCATCTGCGCCAATGATATCGGTACTGAGCCATGTCATCGAACGCATCTAACCACCGGATACGATAACCATGCTAAACCTAGGCAGGGAGTTCGAAACTGCCAACAAGACCAAAACTGACTACTCATGATTTCACGGACTGATAAGACGTCCTAGTTCGGGTGCTTCGAGCTTTCTTCCGGTCAACTAGGGGTGATCATACCTGAACGCGGAACCACTACTGAAAAACTTAGGGGTCGATGTTAAAGTTGATGATATGAATGAGGACTCTTATTCAAAGAAGGTATGGTATGGAGGGTGAACGGTATTTCATCTTAGTTGTAATCAATAGACTACAGCTCCAAAAAACTCTATGTCACTTTCCACCTTATGCAAACCATCTAATCAGAGTATCAGAAATACTTAAAAAATCGTCTACAGACGGGATTACAGAAATTCCTGTATGTCTTAAGTCATAAATCCTCTGCCTGAGTAGACAAATTAGTGATCTTTAAAAATCTCGAAATCTTGACAAGAACAATAGTTGAAGCTCCTATAGATACATCGACGTCTTGGGCAAATGTTTACTGTAAACGTTAGCAAAGGTCAGCTAACTGATGTATGATCTTAGGCAGCACTTACTGTAACACAACACTCAAAGAAGCCGCTTAAATAGTCTGAACGGTTATGAACTGAGTGGTGGGAAATTTCACTTAACGAGCTTCCGCGTCCAAGAGTAATGAATCCCCGATGCTTCGAGGCACAGACCTAAGCATTTCAAGTGAACAAAAGAGAAGCATTGGTAAATCAGTATGGTATATTTTACTGTGTCCTAAAGAATACGTCAATTTTCCTCTAGAAGGACTACTAGGAAATTCACTTTTCCATCTAAGTCGCTAGGGAATTCGAGGATCTAGCTAACCGTAAAGAGAAAAAGATCTGTCTACACTACATTGTTGTGGGTCGTGCCTTTAATTTCTGGGCTTTGGTCCTAACGTTTGCCTTGGGAAAGAGCTTAAGTAGGTGTTTTAGAGAATACTCAGGAGTTTTTATCGTCCTATGAGCCGTTCGACAGTGGCCCATGAGTCATCTGTACTCTAATGAGTAGGGATCCAGTGATTTTAGACGTTTGACAGAATGATTGAACTTGAGTCCTCGAAGTGATTTCGTGATTCGTCATTTGTTATGTTCCAGATTATTCTTATTCTTTTGGAGTATAGGAGGTCTGATGCTAGTTTCGGTACACATGTCTCAATTTAATCAAGTAACTCATCATAAAATGTCGATGTAGCATACTTATTATAGTGGTAAAAATAAAGACGTTTTAGCGGGAAATAAATTCCCAAAATCAATAGCTCTATAAGTCTTCGACATTTGATGGTGGTCACATTAGTTTTAATGGATTCACCTAGCTGAAGGCGCTAGATCACGCATCCTCACCAGATCACGAAGTTGAACGGTGTGCTCAACTTCTTCAAAATTCGCAGCCAGTATAGATCAGTCACTTCTCGATATATTGATAACGTGGCAAATATATCTTCGAACATGTTAGCTTCTGACTTCATTGGGTGGGTACGTTTTGATTATAGAAGTTGTTACTGGTTAAGGTGTTATCAAACTTCAAATACTTGTGGCATCTTTAGTGGTGGGCCCGACATAATCTGGTACACCTGTTTGTAAACTGTATGTTCCTTTCGGTAATTTTATATGTATTCATTTACCTGAATTTTTATGTCGTGATATTTTTTCGTTCATTCCTATACTTCATATTCATCATGATTGAACAGATTCCTAAGTTACTTAAGATCAAGAATCTTACACAAACCTTAATTTAAACTTATGCCACTCTGACCTGACAACATCAGAGCCTGGTTCTGCTACGTAGAATCTTGCTTCTACGAACACAGTGTGACCGATCCACAAGCAAAATTTCTCACAGTAGCGGAGGCACTACGGACATGTTGTTACGAACGAGAGAGGTAATCGGTCAAAAGAAGATGGTCTGTTAAGACGACTTTTCTTGTCTAAGGTGCAGGCAGTGCTTGACTCGTTTCAAAATAACGCTGCAGACGAGCTGAATGCATCTGCCGACCGGATTCTAGAGATCTCCAAAACTTCTAGCGCCGAGGCTTTTCCAGTAAAAAAAACCTCAATGGACACGGAACGACGTTACAGAGCTCTTCCATGCTCTAATACGTCACCATTGTATTCGTCATGACCGTAAAGGATCACAAACTATTCTAAGGAGGTCTTCATGACCTATCTCACGAAAGACAAGTAACCCCGACTGGTGTCATAATCAGTGTGGAAAATCTTCTCTAAACTGCAAAAAATCCTGCATTTTTCCGACACGTAAAACGTTTCGGAGTACTTTCAAGCCGGTACGCGTTAACGGCGAACGTAGCTGGTGAACATAACCGTCTGCTATACGTCACTGATGTTATTAGGAAAGTTTGCTACCTCGTCGACACTAACGCAGAAGTTAGCGTTTTTGCACCGAATTCTAATGAATGATTGCACGGACCGATTTCAAACTTACAGGTGGCAAACGGAAAACCAACAGCCACATACGGTAAGCGGTAAGTTTATTTTAATGTGAGTTTACGCAAACCCATCCACTGGATCTTCGTTGTTGCAGATGTTTTAACGCCAATCTATGGTCTAGACCTGCTACACCATCATAATTTACAATCGGCACGGGAAAAACGGAGATAAGTAGATGGAAATACTCATTTATCTGTTAAACTTTTTTGGTTGTAGATTATCCACTTCCACAATAAGGCACACGACGGATCCATGCTACCAACAAATACTCGATAAGTACCCTTAGATATACCAAACGCGATGCTGCAATATATCATTTTTGGGACGTAACCGTTGTTAAATCTGATGTGTACAGCCTATACAACTACTAAAACGTACTCCTGTAGAACTATGGTCTACTATGATATTAGTACTGCTTTAATAATAGACCTAATCTTAAATTTGTAGATTTGTCACGATATAACTGCCTAATCTATAAGATCTTACGTGGAAGTCACACCATCGACTACACCAACTCACTGTATTGTATCAATTACCAATACATGATGTAGAACAAGGTTAGGCTAGAGAAAGAACAATATATTTAATATGAATAGAAGATATAAGGTAACGTTCGGCAGAGACCACGCCTGCATGGCCGAGCCATGCCACTCGATCAACTCCAGTCCATTCAATTCATTGTTCGCGCCTTCTCCATTGTCAGGTATTTTTCCGCGTTAAATATTGAATATCTATTTTCTGAGTAGTCTCGTGTTCACAGCTTTGTGGATTGTGTGGTTATTGTCCAATGCCACTACATTCCATCCATCAATTAACTTATATAACTGTTCAACACATGAAGTATTGTTTCTTCTGTACTACTATCTGACGAGTGATATCGGCTAACGTGATCGTTAAATGTACATATTTACTTGATTGTGGCCGGTTCTGAACGATTGAGAACAGCTGCCTTGAGCATTAATAATGTATCCGGGAAAATCTAGGGAGTCGGCTTCAGTTTGACAGTTCTGAATGTTTACAGTAATGCCGTGCTTTTGTAGTCGTTTGAAAACAAGGTATAGATACTGGAGTTGAGATTTTCTTTCCAAACTTGAGATCAAGCAGTCATCAACATACGCATGTACGAAGCTGTGACCTCTAAAGACGTTATCAATAAATCACTGGAGAGATTGTTCAGTATTTCCTAAGCCGAAAGCATGAGCGAAAATTCGTAGAAGCCGAATAGAGTGATGATAGCGGTTTTTCGGATATCGTCTGTGGCCATGGGAATTCGTTTATACACTTTGAACAAATAGATTTTCGGGAAAAGTAATTGATTTTTTGTATGTTAGCTATCAAATCGTGAATGCGAGATAACGGGTAAATATCAGGAGTAGTTTTCGTATTCATTTGTCGATAGTTACAAGTTGGACGCTAATCGCTGCTGTACTTTCTAGTAACCGTGTACATAAACAAGGCCCATTGGCTGTTGGATGGCCAGATAATTCAGGAGTCTATCATTTGATCGAATTCGTTTTTAGCTTTTCAGGTAGAACCGGGCTATTATGTTGTCCGACCGGAAAGGCATGGGCTGAAATGTGGGCGACAAAATGGACTTAATGATATTTAGCTTAGTTATCTTCCGTCAGGATGTGTATAAGATACCAATGGATGGGAAAATATATCTAAACATACAATAGAACAATGCCACAATACGTAAAAATTAAAGTGATATATAATGTCCCAGCGAGGAGAAGACCAACAGTTTACTGTTTAGTGTACGAGATCAGGTCCTGATAACCATCAAAGATGTCATAGGTATTGGAAGTTTGAAAACGCCTTCACTCGTAACATCTTTTTAATCGAAGTAAACCGACCCAGTCAAGTCTATGGTGACATGTATATTCAGTGATTTTTGTAACGACGAAATAAAAACCGCATTTTCTCTCTAATCTGTCACACTTTATATGTAACCACATTTTCATTCAGTATCTATTGTTTTTCTGCATCAATTTTTAAAAAACGATCATAATTATTTAGATATACGTTCACGAATATTCTACCGCACTGGTTGAAATATATACACTATCTGTTCTTCTGCTTTATTGGCCACGGCCTTTGACTGGAGACTATAATAGTGTTATAACATCCTTTTAGGCCTTCCCAGATCGCGTCGGAATTTTGGTCCGGATTACTGTTAAATAATGCTATTGGATTCAGCTTTCTCATTACACCGCTGGTGCCACCACGTGCAGAGGAATCTTCGTTAATCAACTGAACTCATTTGTGATTGTTATCTCAGAGAGCAGCTTACATGTAATATTCATTTCATAACAACTGTCATTATCTTGTTATTGAATATAACATCTGTATTGTAACTGTAATTTGTTACCTTTTACTTTACTCATAAACAGACACCTAGGGTTTTGCTGTTAACTCTTTTGGTATATTATTGATAACCTTGCGTATTGGTATATTTTTAATAAGCTCTTTTGTTGGGATCCACCACAAATCAGAAGTCAGAAACAAAGTAGTTCAAATACATATTTGGAAGGTTATCGATATATTGAAAATCGTGTTATCTAATCTGGTTTCCTCTAGCAAGGGATGCGTAGCACTGCATACTCATTTGTGATAATAACAGCAAAAACTTATTCTCAACTAACAGTCTGTTACATGAGGCATGCCAGCCTAAAGGTAAGATCTAGTACGGATGCGTGACCGAGCGGCTTCAGCTAGAAAGTGTCGAGTAAATTTAATAAAGCCAGTATCACTGCCGAAAACTTTTAGAACTATGTGTTTTGATGATTTACTTACCGCCACACTTTCATAACATTTAGAGAATAAAATTTCTTCCTCACCAGAAATGGATTCTATGATTAAACCACGGGAATCAACAAGACGATCATACAATATGACACCCGCTATGAATCAAAATTTTAGGTAGGTCAAAGATGAAATAGTTGCCAAATGACTTAAGCCATCACGGGATCAGTCCTGTTTCAAAAATTTCTGACAGTGTAATAGTTATAGTAGTCGTAAGCAAACCAAAAGAAAAACCAATATACGGAAATACAGACAAAGATAGAATAAAAGATGCACAGAAGGAACAAAAGAAAAAATAGTCACCACGAGGAACACATATGGATGGGGTTTTTACACACCATAGAGGCTTATGCCAAATTAGAATCCGCCTATGTAACATCACACTGAGGATGTATGAAGACAGGTTCCAACAGTAACTTTAATTCTCTATGTCAAAATGTGTTGGTGTTTTGAAGCGTTGCACAAGGCACATGAAAGGCTTGCCGGCAATAAGTTCCCATCAAGATGCCAAGTTGGATTTATGAACCCAAGATATTTGATATAAATCTTTTTTCAGTCCTGATGACCATGGCACTAGTCAGTCTTACTCCACTTGCAAACTTGTTTTTCTGTTTTTCTTTAGATTCGTGTACTCATTAAATTATTGTATATACAAACATACAGATTTAGTAAACGATATCTTCGAAAAGAAAACTGTGCTTTCTGGAAAACCTGTGTTCTTTAGTCAGTGACGCAATAAATTGCTTTATTTCTGAGGATAATTTCTACCACTTATCAACATACTCCTCGAAATTTTCAATGCAGTGATCAAGATCAACTACAACGAAATTATGGTCATCCAGAGAACAGATTTCAGTGAGTTCAAGTTAGTCGTTGTGATAAATGTCAGATAAACGATGACATCTCAAGTAAATAGACATTAACTTCTTTTGATAAGAATAACAGGGAAATCCACGGAACAACGTTATCACATAATTCTACATGAATTATTTGCATTGGTTTAAGTTAGGTGTCTAAGAGCTAGCAGATAACCTTCTGCTAAGAGGAAGACGTTTAAGGTGAAGCTATCTACTTATTTATACATGGGTTGTATTTTCTGTTTGTATATTAAATAATGAAAGAGTTGTGAGTTTAAATGGCAGTCTCGAGCCTCACTCGCTCCGTGCGTTGTGCAATAAAAGGTGATTTTGACATTACCGACAGTCACCCTCAAAGTTATAGCTCAGCGGTATTATTAGCACCTCTAACCAAGCATTCTTAACAACAATCCCTTTGAAGCCTTCAAATGGTTAAAGTAATTATTTTTGTCCGGAACATCTTAAATGTGCCTTCTATGCAGTAGAATCGGTCATAAGTAGTATTTTGTAAGAACCTCTACAGGATCATCCTCGCTGTTAATGCTACAGGGCTAATCTTCATCAACTAAAGTGGTTGGGACGTATATCTCACAACCTTAACTGCCGCCTATCTAGACGGGAGTTGTTATCCGGCCTAAGAGTAGGTTAAAAGAAAGCTAGAGACAGGGTTTGATGGACTAATCCGACAATAAAGAATCCCTAAACATTTCACTTGTCGTACACAAGTCACTTGAAAAGAGCGTTCATTTCATCTTGAAAGAAATTTCCGAAACGAGTTAAAAACTACATTGGGTACTGTAAACTAGTGCAACGAGACAAGGACACACATATCGAGTCGAACATGGTTCACTCTGCCTTTCTGTGAGAAATGGCCTCAATCGTGACAAAATCCTGATCTTCCAAACCATTGGCCGATATTTCTCCTTTCAGTAGCTACAAATGTCTTTGGACTCCTGAATTACGGCTGCCTAAGAGACTACTGCTTTCCGATAAACTTCTTTTCACTCCAATAGCATGGCTTTGGGAAGAACCACTTTTGAGACACAGACTTCTGACTGCGATCGACAGATGGACATCCATTCTCGATCACAAGGGCAAAGTGGATGTAATGTACCCTAGGGACTTAGATGGTCCAGTGAACTTGCTAGTAATCCTTCTAGAGGAAAATTGACGTATTCTTTAGGATACAGTAAAATATACCATACTGAGTTACCAATGCTTCTCTTTTGTTCACTTGAAATGCTTAGGTCTGTGCCTCGAAGCATCGGGGATTCATTACTCTTGGACGCGGAAGCTCGTTAAGTGAAATCTCCCTCTTTTCAGTCGACCCCTATTGGAATTATACGAATTTTCTTGTCAATGATTGGGAATCGAAGGCGCGTATTTTAGTTGTCTCGTTACATGGGCAAATGTAAATCCCCTTCATGATATTTAGTTGACTTATTTTATTTGTCGATTGCTGCAATGGTACTTGTAAAACCTTACTTCTTGGTCATGTTTTCGGAAAATGTGTCTATGGTTCCCGCTTTCTAGCTATCAGATGAACTTTACTGGTTGTAAACGAAAAATTTTGAGCTATGACCGACAGTCTGGGAGAGACCTCCAAAAGTTCGTAAGACTTCTCGTTGTTTATTTAGCAGTGATTATACTTAGTGCTGAGGATGTTTTCACTAGTAGTGAAGTAATTTCGAAATGGACCTAACCAGGTGGTTAGGTCCGGACATCAAAAATCAGTGTCTATTAAGAGTTGCCTGGTGGATATTATCGTGGAGATCTATGGCATCATCCACTTGCATTAATAATATAATCGAAATCAGTGTCAGAAGTACAAATCTTCAGGTGTAAGAAGTGTGATGGACTTGTCACTTCAGAATATGATGACATTCACCTTGTTAGTAGTATAGTCGGCGAGACTCTAATTTAAGGTCGACCTTTGAACGAATCTTAAGTGACCTTGACAATTATTAGCCAATCAGAAGAAAGTTTCTTCAGTCTTCAGTAATAAGGATAGTAGGTTGATGAACCTGTGTTAATCCTGACACATTGCTTTCCAGTGAAGGTCCAGCTTTTCCTTGGAAGTATTCACTGATGGGGCTGATACCACTTGTTCGGGTAAGGTGTTCTAATAATTGACTACTCGATGAGAAAAACGGGACCCCACTTTAAGTTTATTAGATCGTGGTTTATGAACCTTCTTGCTATGAACTTGGAGATTATTAGTGCTGGAGGGAGCAAAAAGATAAGACATATTAGCACCCAAATCATAAATAAAGATACGAAATGCCATTATAAGGTCACCTCGTGTCCTACGATACGACAAGGGGAAAAGATTTAGGCGTTTTAAACGCTCATCGTAAGGGAGTCTAGAAAGACCCTTCACTAATTTCGTTCCCACACGCTGGACACGCTCAAGGGAGTTAGTATCCTTTACCAGACACGGGCTAGCTGCTTGGATACAGTACTCTAAATGTGGTCTAACATATATGGGATATAAAATTCGAAACGTTTCCTCGTCAAAAGATTTGAACGCTTGGCGAAGTGACCATAACGCACGAAAACCTATGTGTATTATATGTTAGAGGTTGAAAATTGGTCTTAAATGTGAAGATGTGAATATAAAGAGTGAGTTCTTTGTTGAGAATTGCTTGTATATGTACGCCCCTCTAATGTCCATTATTACTTTGATTCTAGTCATATATAGGGCGTCAGTCAACAAGTGCATTTATTTACCCACTGGTTCTTCAGAAATTGAAACTCGTATTACATTAGATTTTAAAAGGTATAACCTGGAGTTTGAGTTTTTATGAATAAGTATCTAGATTACTTTTTGTACCTGTTTGTGAAAATGTGCACTACTAACCGTCGTTTTGAACCTATGCAATATGGTGTCCGAATCTGTGTTAATCTGCTTTTAACATGGGGCTGATCAGGTGGTTCGAATATTTTGTTTTTATTATTTGTGCCACAGATACACGTCCCGCTCTACCTATTTCATCCAGTGGGTTAGTAACTCAGAACCTATTATAGTGACTTCTATTTGGCTATTGAATTTCAGTTGGTGAACTACTAATAGATTTTTATCACGATTCATTTTTTATCATTCATCGCTTCCATACTTTTCTTATCTAGATCATAATATTTATCAGGTGGGAAACTAACACTTTTGGTCATTCCTTCAAATGATCAAAGTACCGGGCTTTGTTATTTCCCAGCTACTGGGACGAGGGACGTATGGACAAGTATACATGGGAAGAAAGTCCGTAAGTAAAAATTTCATGCATAACCTTCATATTTTTCCAAGGGTTCAAGTAAGCTAGTAGCAATTAAATGCATTATGAAGTTGAAACTAAGCAATCAAGCCCGGGATAATTTAGTCAGTGAAATTTCTATTTTGAAAGCTCTTGAGCATCCCCATATTGTTCGTATGCTTGATTTTACAGTAAGATTATATTAATTAGTGATTTTCGGATTAGTGGGATGGATCTTTTGTGTATATTATAATGGAGTTTTGTGGCGGAGGAGACCTTAGCAGATTTTTGAGGTTGAAAAGAAGATTAGATGAACTGCTTGTGCAACGCTTTTTACAACAGTTAGGTAAGCAAGTGTATATCTTGACATTTACCTCATCATAACCAATAGCTTTAGCTCTTCAATACTTAAAAAGTAAAAATATAGTCCACATGGATTTAAAACCTCAGAATATTTTGCTCACATCAATTAACAATCCAAGCTTGAAGCTTGCCGGTAGGTCCGGTTACTTTTTATTATCTTTTTTATAACGTATGACACGCAGTGCCTTTCGTTTATATAGAAGTACATAATAGAATTATATAGTCATTTTCGAAGATAGTTTTCATTACAGTTTGACACCAGATAAAACAACTAAACCTCTAAATTATTTCTACCCATTTATTAGTAGATCTGGTTCGCTTTTGAGCCTTGTCAGAATAAATAGTGCCACCGCATAATCTATCGGAAAGTATTACCAAGCTGTTTATATAATATTCTGAGACAATTTAGATGTAGATATGTAGTTAGGCTTGTCGACATGATGTTCTGTTTAGCTGTAAGCTGCAGTTCACTTTAGGTGTAATCAAGAAGTATTTGATCTTATGGATTGTGATAAAACAACCGTCAAATCGTCTTCTTACAAATTAGCATTTGCAAGAAAATTATGACAATGCGGCAAAACTTTTTATCGACGAATGGTCTTTACTTATTATTTATTTAATTGCACTAGAAAATGAGTGCCAGTGCATATATCGCTCACAAATTTGTCGGTGGCGATGGAACCCAGTAACTAAGTATATGCTCCAGTACTTTGAGCCACACAGGTTTCAGACAAATACTGGCACAGTTCAAACTTGTGACCCATTTTTCGAAACTGGCGCCTTAACCATTATACATAATTTCCTTGTCATAGATACTCTCTTGGTTCTCAGACTAAAGCATGGTCAGTCTGTAAACCCCTCCTACCATTTCTGAAATCATGAGTAATGTGTCATCAGCATAAAAAGGTCGATGTTTGCAATACTTGAAGGGATAGCGATCGGAGAAAGTTCACATACGTTTTTCTTTCCAAACATGGGGTTGGAAACACATTTTCAGATTTCCCTTAGATTGACTTTCTGTATTCCATAACCCGGCTAAAAGGCGTAAATTTACTGGATACATTTCCATTTGACAACAGTACAATGTATATAACCGATGGAGGTTAACTGAAATCACGTAGTGGGGTTTTGGATATAGGAACAGTTTATAGACAGGTTCGGATTTACAAACGTAAGGTAAGGGAAAGATATATATTGGTATCGAACGTTTGTCATAAGGTGTCTCTTTGAATAGCTGGCACCTTGATACAGTGGTCAGGCTTCTATATCCTGGTTATCTAATTGAGCTGTGTTGGCTGGGACACTTATTCCTTTAGGTCCTGCTGTTGTATCCGAATGATGAATAGTTGAGTGGTAACTGGCAAGAGTTATTTATGGACTGTTATTACATGCATTCCTATTGGATAACTATTAAGCAACCAGATTATATGTATATTCATATTCCTTTTATCACAAGCTTTCATTTGATCTCCTGACTACTATTATACGATTTACTATTCGTAAGTTATTTTCAACCTGCTCACACTTCCAACCACTTTCGGCTTGATCTTATGTGATTGTTATTTTCTATCTCATGGTGTGATGCGGTCTGATTTACTTGTATATAAATTGTGCATATCTGAAATATATTATATTTTACGGCCTTACAGAAATTTCTGGAATGCATCTCTTCCTCGTTAAATGTAAAATTTTGCTTCAGAAATTTTCTAGGTGATCATACGGAGTGAAGTAGTTGTGGGTATTGACTACCATTTACGTTGGAAGTTTCACCAACCCCGGTGGGTTGTTGTCGAACGAAATCGTGACACGGATTTAAAAGACCCTGTTATCTTTGTTCAGTACGTCACCTGTGTCCGTAGATGAGATGTCTGTTTGTTAAAGAATTAAGCAATTGTATTACATATCAGTTCACTCTATACTGTTGCTGTGAAAAGTGGTCCATGAAAATAGGAATCATGTGTAAACAGCAGGTTTTTGGTCATACATATCTTCGAGATAATACTTTCTTATCGTGAACAATTGAGTGAATGATGCTAAGATTAGGCGTAGGCTACTTGGCAAATATGAAAAATTGGTTAGCGACGTAATGAGCCCTCATTGAGTTAGCTGACTGGGATAAGTGTTGTGTATGACGAACAATCATACAATCCTGACTAGGGTTGGAATAGGTTGGTAGAATGTTACTAGTGGTCAAGCCAAAACTTGATATCAGTCCATAAAGTCACTGACTATTGAAATGAACTGTGTTGACATGTGCTTACTGCCTGTCCGGGGTCTGGGTGATTATCCTGACCAACGGTTAGAGAAATTGGGTGATGTGGATCAGAATCGATCTGAGTGGTGTTAATGTGTCCACTTTTTGTTGACTTAGAATACTCAGATGGTGTTCTGTTTGGTGAAGACACTGAAAATGAGCCCATAAAACCTCATATATTTGTAGAAGTAAGGAGATCCCTTTTGCAATTAGCAAGTATACATGGAACTTCATGTTGTTTCACCATAAAGCCGTCGACTTTATCTCGTTTTTGTGTTGTTGTTGTAGTCAGTTCACCGATTAGTTTTTTTTTCTGTTCCTCGTAAACTTTTGATCATATTTATTATAAAGGGAGGCGTTTAGTAACTACTTGCCCATCGTTTTGCTCTATCTATGGTTTGATCGATCTATTTATTCTCTCGTTAATAACATTTCAGACTTTGGATTCGCCCAGTGTATTAAAGAGACAGCTAAAAAGAATGAAGTTCGTGGCACATTATTGTATATGGCACCTGAAATATTCTGCGAGGGTTTTTATCATCCTTCATGTGATCTATGGTCTATTGGTATTATTCTATATGGTGAGTTGAATGGTAATTTTGACAGTATGGGATCATTATGACTCTGTAGGTTCTCACTATAGTGTGGTCAATCTCATCTACTAGGTCAGTAGGTTTTTTCACAAGTTTCGTGGTTTTATATCACGGACTGGGTTTTGTTAGATTACCATTAAAAATGGGTAGGACACTGGGCAGCTATTTGGTCATGTTATGGGACTCTTCAGCAATGTACCTTAGCAGCCCCAGCAGGGTTCAAACTTTACGACCTTCTGACCATTAATTTGGCATCAAGGGATTTACATTTCTAACTACAGTAGAGCCTCAATATTTCATGACCATCACCAATGGCTACCAACCATCTATCTCGATAGGTAATACTGAAAATGGTAATGAGATAAACTGGACAAATCGATTTAGTGCAGTTCACTTCCCTAGCATATTTTCTCGTACTCAACTTTCAGTCACACTCGTTGTATGATTTTGTGATATTATTCTTTTCTCCTAACCGAAATAAGCAAAATTCGGAGAGCTGAAATTGCCGAACCACTATTCAAGTTAATTGATCTAGAAAATCATAAATAATGTAGATAAATATCTAACTAAGAAGTGTGAAGGCGCTTAGCCTTCTGGTATTTTGTGCTAGATACTATACAGTTTATCGTCTGACGGTGGTCAGTGTTATGTCATACCTAGGGTAAACTTCAGTAAAGTCAGTCACTCATTGTCTAAATGAAGCCTGGAACGGATATGTATCAGTCCATGTTGCCACATTCCACATCACACAGAGAGAAAATTTAAATGACGGAGATCATTGGATGGAAAATAATATCTATCGCAATTTAAACTTGAAAGTGAGAAATGTTATACAAGAGGATTTGGTGTTTTGGTGAATGTAAAGTTAGGAATGATACTTAACTCAAGATCTATAGGAAGTTGGGTACTGTATATAACTGTATCACTGACTGATCTTACTCCTTTTTCACCAATCGTCCCAAAAAACTGACTAAAAGTACTGAGTGGGTCTCAAATAAAAGATTTACAACTACTGACGGGATTGAGACCAGCAATCGGTAACTTCCTGGATTGGTTCAGCATTTTAATTTGTTCACCACTGTATGTCTTCTGGCCTACTTCTATGGCAAGGAATGTCTCACATTGGGTTAGGTGGTGTATCAGGATATGTACCACGCATTCTAACCATCCCAGGCGATGGTTTCTAGTTTAGCTTAGTTCCGCCATTGCTCACTTCGTGGTCTCACCATATGCTTCAAAGACACCTATTTTCTAATGCTTGTGAATATCCTCTGCTTCTGAAATGTATTTTCCCAGCCATAAAGCAAAACGGGACTAATTTATACTCATTATGCTTGAATCGTTCGTTACCAGATGGGCATTTTGCTTGCTTTACAGGTGATATACACTTGTAAAGGTCAAGCGAGCTTTGGAATGCGTACCGGGATTTTGTTAGACATCAACCCTTCAGGGTTGCTCCCTATGATTGGCTAAAGTATTGATTCAGACAAGTCCTGGACCAATATTTTATCCTCATAAGGAAGGGAAACACACTCCAAGGATGGATTTAATCGACATCTCCATAAAATAAAATTACGTCACTTTTGTAGCTTCAATCATACATTTATTTTTTCGATGTATCCATTCAAACCATTACTTCTTACTATGGTATCCAGTTATTCTTGAATAGATTATCATTTAGCCGTCTCACAGATATACTTATCATAATTCAGTTGTATGGTTTTTAAGAACTAACCAATTTAAAGGTAGCTTCCAGTAAATTCAGCGTGAGAACCATCAAACTGAATAAAGTAGCTATACTATGGAGAAGAGCCAGTTAGAAATGTTAAGGATGACCTTGGAGTTTTGAAACCACTTTTCAACTAATAAGGAGAGTCTGTAAAACTGAGTTTCTTGCTAGAGTAGTAATGAGGTCTGTAAGAGTTTGGTATTTTTATGAATCTTAACATTTTTTCAAAACTTGTTATCGTTTTTTTCGATACTTTGCTTGAAGAAACATTGCTTCATAATCTCACTCGTTTACTTGCTATTAGGTTTCTCTTCGAATCTTTTTCATCGCTATAAATATTACTATCGACTCCAAAATCTTTACTAACATGTCCCTTGAAGTTAGCGAAATTAAGTTATAAGAAAACTGCTTGAAGACGTCATGTACAGTAATCATGATATATTTTAGCATTCCTACTTCATCAAACCACTTCTTATTGAGTAAACCACTAATGAAATAGTTTGGAAGCTGACAACGTACAAAAGATGTTGGAACAAAGATTCGTTGATTTATGTGTTTGATATTACGGATTGATTGAAATATTTTTCTCTCTGCACTTGGTGTTACCATATTACGATAATAGGAATATATGATAATGAGGTGGATCTAGGTGACCGAGTTTACAATATCTCTAGATTGAATACTCGGACGATCCGCTACACTCATGCCAGGTCACGTCATATCGGATATCCGATTCATGACCAAGACTGTAGAGCCAGAGTAACACTAGATGATACTTTATTCCATACAATTACAAGCAGCCATTTTCATTGAGTCCGTAGTAGAAATCAATAAGAGTAGTGGAAGTCACATATTTTATAGTCAGTAAGTTGAGTTCCTGTTTGTCTACACTCGATAACCAATCACATTTACTTTGACTGGCACACAGCGTCAGTAGTATGTATTTGTTGTATTTTTCTCGGAATCATTTAACAGAATCTTTGCCTAATCTCGTTTACTACTTCTACTACTTCGGGATTTGTCTTGATAGTTTTATTTTGTTGTATGTTACATATGGTGTGGTAATTTGAACTAATGCATTTTTGTGCGGGGTTTTACATTGCATATATGACTGACTGTCTGCCTGACTTAATGAGTTGTAAAGAAAAGTTGTGTAATTTTGTTCCATTTTATCTTTGTCCGTATTTTTTAGTTTATGTATTTAACATCAGTCCAGTTTTTTAAGTTATCAATTAAATGTTGTAAAGTCCAATGAAAGCCGGTGACGAAATTGTGCTCTGGGAACCCGATATAGTGAAAGTTATTTATACAATACCAAAACTCTAAGTGCCTTGTAGTATCATGTTTCCCACACAAGTATTAAAATCAAGGCTTGACTATTAGAGTTTTTTTTAGTTATTTTTAGGACAACCAACGATAAGGACGAAAGTCATGTCGAACATTCTTTGTTTTTCAGAGGGAAAAGGAAAGTTAGTAGTTCATCAACTGATATCACATCCTGCAAAAACTGAGCTGTTCAACTGAAATAAAATAATTTCTTTATCTTTAATTTTTGTTCAAAAAAGTTATACTTTTCCATATTGAATTCTTTTATTTCCTTCCAATAAAATAGAATGCCTATTCGGCACTACTCCCTACGGTCAAATTACAATTGAAAAATTAAAAGAGAAATTAGTGGCAATGGATGAAGAAATTAAGGTAGTTTATATTGATTATTGGTTTTTTTATGTGAGTACTTTTGCTTTTTGGGAGAAAAAGTTATACTTATTTTTATGTCTGCAGCATGAATTATACCAAAACGTGTACTTCAATAAAAATGTTAACTCATATGTATTTTTGCCAGGACTTTTTAGGGTAAACTATTACTTTGTTTAGTTATTGTACTCCATTACCATTCAACTTTGGTATAAGTTTATTTTCATTGTGTAATATATCTAGGTAGATCTGTAGAAATTTGCACTTGGCTTCAGATATGTTCTGATTCATGGGGTTATGTGATGTTGTATCTTTTGTGTGTCAGTTTTTTAATAAAATTGGGCACACTAGTTTATGTTACTAGCATGTTGTACCCTTCCACATTGTTACATATATATTATTATTCTATTCGGTCTTATTGTTTGCAGTGCATTTATATCACTACCCACTGTATGTAGTGCACTAAAGCATCATGTTTTTTTAATGTTTGTACTGATTTAACAAGTATGTTATTGATTATTCCGTCATGTTAGGTGTCAGATCCGAACCTTACCTCGCTTAGTCCCCTCACACTGGTGAAAAGTAGAAAGTGGGAAATAATATTGACTGCGGCGAAAAGTGAGACACAAAGAGTACTATACCATATTCCGCGAAACGATTATGGTATGAAGAGTGGAATACTCGAATATTCTATTTTGTATACCTCTCTTTCCTATTTGTCTTTACACTCTGGCCATCACTTCATATCCACTAACATATAATATCGTCTTTCTAGGCAATCCAACATCTCGAAAGTACCTAGTTTTATTGTTTTCATTGCAACCAACCAAACGTCGGTTTATAGTCTACATCCTTTTTATTCATACATCTAAATAGTAAGATAGTTATGTCAAACCTGGTTAGTTCACCCTATAGTATAGGTTAGAGATATGTACGGCTAAGAGTAGCGAATACCTTATCGATTGGCGTAGTCATTTGATGTCAGGTTTAAATTATGATGTCATTAAAGTGTTTTCAACGAGAATTTTATGCGATGCTACCGTGTGATGGAAAGAGTTAGAAAAGACCAATCCCAAAGATATCACTCAATTGCTCCATTGATTCCTGTTGCTCGTAGTAAAGTTCAGGGAGTATAAAGTGACCTCTATAAAGCCAAAAACAATTATATTCATGAAAGGTTGGATATTACTGTTCACAACCATTTTTTAGGTTGCTCGGATTTATTCATTGCCATCTTAGAAGTGTTGTTTTCTAACGATCATAGTGTATCCGTTCTTATCGGTGTTTATTGCCTGTAGAATTTTAAGTTGAGTATTTTTATATGAATGTTTTCTTAGAGTTTGAAAAGCAATAGATTCTGTGAACAATTATGTATATTAACTTTCATTGTTTGTACAACAATAAATTATTATTCTCCTTAGAGGATTTTTAAGTATTCAGTGTTTAACCACCGTTAATTCACCTATTTTTTGTATGTTTATAGTTACCTTCTACAAATGAAATAAGCAAACCATGTGCTGCCTTAATACATGGTTTATTAAAACGGAACCCTTCTGAACGATTAAATCATGAACAATTTTTTTCGCATCCATTCATTGATTTAGATCATGCACCATCAGCACAAAGTCTGGATAAAGCTGTAAGTTCGGTTATATAATCTTACCATTATTATTATTATTAACTGATTGATTCTCCAGGTGGATTTGTACCGATTCGCTTCTTCTTTGGTTGTTATTTTCTCGGTCTGAACATTTGTTTTTAATGTAGCCATATCGGCTAAACTGTAATTAGATGGCTAGAAGTCACTAGATTGGTCAGTCAGATGCAACGTAAGCGCTGGCACATGTGTGCATTGGTTCAAGTTGCCACAATACATTAAAACAGCGGGATGAAATTGCTAGGGAAAATCCCAGAATGGAGAGGTGATTTAAGAGATTAGGTATCCTAGATACAATTCTAGCAAATATGAATTAGCGAAATAATAAAAAAATATAGTGAATTTAAAAAATAAGGATTTGAAGGAAGACAGTAAATGCACCTGAGGCATTGCAGATGATTTTGAGCCATGTCAACCATAGTCTCTAACCCTCGCTTGCGATAATCACGCGGACCTTAAGAAGTTATCCTGAACGTACTTACATTGCTCATTCCAATAGTCAGCGTCTCCATGCACTGATGCTGTGTCTTGGTCTGGTCATTCCTAAAGTTCTTCCAGCTTCCCCTACACCAGCCATCAGCATATGTAATACCTGTCCTAACGATCTCAGTCGATAAAGTTTCACTAGCTCGTCAATTAACTTTCCATATTTACCTAGTACTCTGCGTCTAACCTCGAAATTATTAACTTGATAGTTCCAAAATATACGAGCAATTGTTGGAAAAAACATTGATTATACATTATCAACTCATTGTTATCCAATCAGTGAACGGAAGGATGTATATTTTTGAATTGTATGATTAATGGATATTTTGTACTACAATCCTCTTGTTTTCTACCTTGTCATTTTGATAATGGAGTCAAAAATATTCTAGATTATTCAAACGATATGTTCCCTTCATTTTTAGATTAGTCAAGTCCCAAACTACCTGGTAATTCACATTATATCAGTTTTTAGTAGATGTTATTCACTGGAAGACAGTGTTCTAGTTATTCACTTAACAATTTGTGTAATATGACACTTTACTCATTATGTTCAGTGACACTATGGCGTACATCTTTATTTATAAGAAAAAATCAATTATCATTGTGAAGTGTGATGATTAGTTCTTTGTAATTCATTGTTTTCTTGTCAAAGATTTGATTTCATTCTGGTTTATTGTTGAATATTCATGTTATTCAAAACATGCATAATAAATATTTTTGTTCTTGTAAAATTATTCTAATTATGGTTTTCACATTTTTCTCCTCGTTAACAGGCCGAATATCTTAAACGTGCGCCTCAACTAGAATCACTGGGGAAATTATGTGAAGCCTACGATTGTTATCTAGAAGGTTTAAATCACCTAATGGCTGCATATAATTGTAAGTTTGAGTGTTTACTTACTTTATAACTAACTCTTATTTGCATGTTATTAGTTCCTGTAGTCGTTTATCTTTCTTTTGGAAAAAGAAATACTTATTAGGATTAAATGTTAAATTGACTTGATAACATTTTCTTATTGAATGATTCCTTAAGTTTTTATTTTTAAAATGATATGGACTGTATAGTTTTTATGGTTTTTTCCCCGTTTCAACAATCAAAATAACACCACATTTCTTACAGTTTAGTGAATGAGACAAGAAATTCAAGTCTATGTATACATATAGTGAAGTATGATAAATAATTGTTATTTGTTACAAACCCTTTGTACAGAGGGTTTAGAACTGATATATTGTCAGTCGCTAGGTTACATTTTAAATATGGTTCCGAATATTTTCATTTATTGTCATTAATTAGGATCATATCATGTAAGTTAGGTTGTAGTGAACAGTACACGAATGCGGACAATCGAATGTATGTAACACAAAATTACAGGACTTGTTAATAAAATCTAACAATCATATAGTAAATGCTTAATTTGCAAAATGTCCACCAATTGTCTCATAATGACTCAGACTTCATTGTTCTTGCATTTTCATACAAATCGCATTCTATTTCGATTCCTTACTGTTTGATCCTCTCCTCTCTCTGCTGCCAGACCTTCTGTTCGCGACTAACGTCATATACTACTTATGTCAATACAAGTAGCACACACCACAAGGTAACCTTATAAATTCATTCTGCTCTATCTAGTTATCCACAAAGGGATGAAAATTTAAGTTTAACCATCGTTTTAATATGTATGTATGTTATAAGTCAGGGCAGAAGTGCTTTTCAAGTCATTCAATCTCAACAAAAGCTTTTATAATTAAGTTGTAGTTTATAATGAATTTATTAATTTATCCGATATATCTCATGAAAAACTGGAAGAGATATATTTCAGTTTGAAAAATATGTGTTTACGATTGCTGATGTAATGTACTGTTGATAGTATTTGTTATTGGATTATCAGAAAGACTTTAAACAAAATGTTTCGAAATCTATCATATATATGTGAGATGTTTTGAATTTTATTATCATAGTGAGTTTCTGAAATAATTTGTAAGTCGCTTGTGCTACTGTACCAGACTAATGAAACTCTACTAGTAGGGTAGTCAAATACGAAATTCATTGTAGTCAATATTTTACAATTTTACTGTCAATGTTTTCGCAAATATGCTATTATTATCGTTGAGAAGTCTTCAGAAGCTGGGATCATGTTGAAAGCGATTCGTCCCATCAGTTTTCACTGTAGACGTCTCTGAAATTTTTAGGAAAATGACGAATTGCGTGCCACATTCTGATTGAATTGCCTATGTTGTTAATAAGTTTAACATGTTTCCAGAAGCTTTCAGAATATAAAGGCCATCCATAGACAAATACTCGTGTTTTCTGTATTCAAACTAACCTTAAAAGTAAGTCATTTTACATAATTCCCGCCATCTTTTTACTGTTCGATACTCACATTTAGGAGAACTTCTGGTGAACTGGGGAGCAGTTATCAGGTCATTGTTAGGAGTTTGAGTACTAGACGTATCAATCATTACTATTATAATTACCATCGTCATTATGTTTGGATAAGGACATCTCATCCTATAGATTAGTAGTTTAGGGATCTAACGATGATTAATTAATCAAGTCTCATACATGAGTCTTTACTTCCCATATAGCTACAATAACTGCCTAACTAAATCTCATACACAAACTAACAATAATTTCCTTTATACCAAACACATGAATCACAAACATAATACTAAACATTCCGTTTACTTTTGGTACTCGTCAAGTGATGTTTTCTGAATGGCTTAATCGTAACGCCTTATTCATTTTTTTTCAAAACGCCGTAAGAAAATGTTACATTTGCATGTTTATACTATAAAGTATAATTGACGAAGTATGGGCCCATAATAATGGATGTGAATCAGTTAACATGTAGGTGGTTTTAGTAACAGATTAGTATTAATCGAATTAATTCTTCATAGAAATCCAATCGACAAATTATCTGGGAAAATTAATATCGAGAATTCAAGGGAATAAAGCTACATAATACAACTAAGTAGTGAAAGATTATGATACGTTTCTTCTTAAGGTAGACAATTATAGGTCACTGTAAATGATAATAGGATTAGATTAGAAACAATAAGATAATAACAAAGCATAAATGTGATTTTGAATTTCGATTGAAAATCTGGGATCGATTAAAGATGAGAGTTTGAATATGAAAAGAGATAAAATCACGAAAGAAAAATACACTAGTTTGTAGTAAGACTAAGGCTATGGCCATGAAAACGACTATAAGATCTATTTTTTAACATCATTATTCAATTTTAGATGGAGCATAACTAAGGATTCTGCGATGTGAAAGAAATAGATTGGATAAGGTCCTATAAATAATGTCAAAGAGTAACCAACTTCATATTGCAAAATAGATAATTTTGAACTTCTACCTTTCCCTTCACTGGGCGGTACTGAAAGATTCTATATAACGCGTGGCGACATATTTGTTAACGACTGATCAGTCTACCTAGTTTCACAAGTTCAGACAGACAGGTATATGCATATGGAGTAGGTTAATCTAGGTAGTTTATCTCTCACACAGAGGTGCTTACAATAGATTAATTATTAAGTAGTGACTAACGTGATGTTTGTCTAATCATTTAGTTCTGATCGAATTTCGTCGATCAAGTTGCACTCCCACAGATAGCATCACTCCCCATCAAGACTACAGTTATGGTTTTTTTAACGAGTGTCGACTAGTACGTAACGTAGATCCAGGGTTTCCTGTCGACTACCTTTAACCATATAACAGACAGGTGTATCATTGGTCACTTATTTTAGGATACTCGCGACGAGGTAGTGTAGATTATTATTTACTAAAGGGTTCTTAAAAGTCACCATCCGCACTGCGACTTAAACTAAAAATTAGCATGTATTATACTGTTGGTCAGTTTGATGACATTTGTGTAAATCCTCATTTGTCTTATATTCTTCTCAACGAATGTGAAGAATGACCAGTTCCCACAAAATTATTTATCCAATCCATAAATCTCATCAAATTTATACTTGCTTAGTTAATGGATTTGATTGGATGGATTGAAGAGTTTATGAATGTTTGTTTCATTTAAGAGTATTGACCAAGTTCTACGCAGTCAAAGACAACATACGATCTGTTCAATTTACTGTATATTAAACCAGCACATTGCGAGAGATGGGAAATCAGCCAAATCTGAAGTAGTGAACTGGAAATTATAGCATCTACAATATGAATGTATGACAAATGTGTATCGGAAGGAAAAAACGTGATCTAGGTATGCGAAGTGTGGAACTACTCGAGACTTAGAGAAAGATAGAGAGGGGTCTACGTATCGATCTAGTTTATCTTTCGGTGGTATATAAAATGTACTTGTTAAAATCCCTTGAATTAAAAAAATATATTTAATTACCCGACCGAAGCTGCTACCTTGACGCGGTGGTCGGGCTTCCCTATCGTGATGACCCAACCGAGCTATATTGGCTGGAACATATGTTCCTGTAGGTTCTACCATGCCAGGCAGGTCGATTGGTGAACGGTAAGACTAAAAGCAGCAACTCAAGGTCTGAGGGCGAAGTCGTCCTGCTGACTGTAGAGGGGTGTGACAGCAGTAAGGTGTTTCCCTCGGACAACCAGCATTGCAGCGATGCTGCCTTCCCACAAGGAGGGGTGAGGTTAGAAAAGGTCGACCCTAAAAATGCACACCTCACCTTACCTCACGGATTTCCGTCTCCGGCGGTAAGGCCCTTTGAAGAACGGAGCTAACACGTCAAAAACCTTCCACGAAAAGGCCGTACGCGACCGGCCTCAAGCAGTTGTCCCTTGGGCTCTGCGGTCACGCTCCCAGGTCGTTAAGACCAACACTGATCCAATTTTCTTTTCAGGTTCCTCAAGACATACCCTTCCACAGTGTGGGCAGCCGGAAAGTGACACCAGCCCTCATACCCGTAACAGCACACGAGACCAAGTTGGTCAGGTTCAAATCCTTCCTACACCTCCTAATACCTCTCTTATCTCCATGACTAACCCTCCTCACGTCTCTTTATCACCTTGCACCGCTAGGGCAAACGATTCGAGTACGTGGAATGCTATTCCTGGTCTCCTGAAACCACGCTCTAAACTACACGTAGGAGCTTTTAACGTCCGAACACTGTGCCAAATAGGACAGCAGGCTTCCTTAGCTAGGACTTTAGAATCTCGCGCCATCGATGTGTGCTGCGTCTCCGAAACGCGCATACAGGATCCGAGTAGCGTCATTCATTTGACCTCACCATGCCAAAATAAAGAACCGACTCGATTTACGCTTCGTGTATCTGGAAGCCCTGATTCTGCTTCCCGTGGCCTCGCCGGCGTAGGTATAGCATTGAGTCCTAGGGCAGAACTAGCTCTCTTAGAGTGGATCCCAGTAGACAGCCGTTTGTGCGCTGTCCGACTGAACGGAACAGTAAGGATCCGGAAAGATAGGGACACTCGTCGTCTCTGCCTATTCTCCCACTGACTGCAGCTCAGATGATGTAAAAGATGAGTTTTACAGAAAGCTCTCCGACCTTCTCCGAAAAGACAGGCGCTCGGATGTAGTAATAATGGCCGGTGACTTTAATGCTCAAGTAGGTAAACTAAGCGATAGGGAAAGACACCTAGGTGGATCTTATGGTGTCGTGGCTCAAAGAACAGATAATGGCGACCGTCTGTTGCATCTATGCTCAGATAACCGCCTGTTCCTTGCAAATACTAACTTTAAGCATAAGGAAAAACATCTTTTAACATGGCGACCCCCTAATTCGTCCCAACGTAGGACCCAAATAGATCACATCGCTATCAGCCACCGATGGAGGGGCTCGATAGAAGACTGTCGCTCATTCTGGAGCACATGCATAGATTCAGATCATGCTCTAGTACGAGCGCGTATCTGTCTGCGTCTTACTGGACGTAGGAAAGGCGCTGCAAGGAAACCTCTTAGGGTCCTACTTAATGATAGTCAAGCTAAGAGTATATTTCAGGAACAACTAGGAAAACAGTTAGGCAGCCATGTATATGATGCCCACCCCGAGGCAGCATGGAATGATATCCGAAAAGCTGTGGAAACAGCAGTGATATCTGCTAGTACGGTAACCCGTAAGGTTAGGGAGCAACACTGGATCTCAGCAGCATCTATCGCACTGATAGATGCTCGGAAACTCATTCCACCTGGCTCTGAACACAATGAAGAGCGGAGTCAGCTTAAGCGCAAGCTGACAAGAAGTCTACGCAATGATGGTGAACAGTGGTGGGTAGGGAAAGCAAGAGAGATGGAAAAGGCAGCGGCAATAGGTAATAGCAGACAATTGTTCAGACTCGTTAAGGAAACCGGAATTAGGAACCCGACCGTTAGCGAAACAATCTCAGAGAACGATGGACATATCATACATTCTCAATCCAGGAGATTGGATCGATGGGCAGAACACTTTAGGGATCAGTTCAACTGGCCTTCAGCCACACTTCGGTTTCCCACGATCTCCAGTCAACCTGAATGGCAAGTTAATGTAAGTCCTCCGTCCCTTTGCGAAGTTGAAAAAGCCATAGGAAATCTGAAGCGAAGGAGAGCAGCAGACCCTAACAGGTTTACTCCTGAGATTTTTAAGGATGGTGGTTCAGTATTAGCTGTGGGATTAGCTGAGGTCTTAGGTAGGATTTGGGAACTGGACGTAATCCCATCTGACTGGTCTCAATCACTGATTGTGCCAGTCTATAAGAAAGGACAAAAGTCCTCTTGTGACAATCACAGAGGAATCAGTTTGACTAATATAGTGTCTAAAATATTAGCTTCAATAATACTTCGACGCCTAACCAAAGCTCGTGAAGAGCAGACTAGAGAAAACCAGGTTGGTTTTCGACCTGGACGTGGTTGTATCGATCAGATATTCACACTACGTCAGGTTCTAGAACACAGACACACATTCAGACGCCCCACAATGGTAGTATTTCTCGACCTTAAGGCGGCATTCGACTCTGTTGATCGTAAGGTTCTATGGCAGTGTTTGTCACTGAAAGGAGTACCAAAGAAGTACATTAACCTTATAAAGGCTCTCTACTCGAACACAACTGGTCGAGTGAGAGCTTATGGTGAACTGTCATCAGAATTGATTACCTCAAGTGGTGTTCGTCAGGGCTGTCCACTCTCCCCATTCTTGTTCAACTTTGTGGTCGACGTACTTTTAGAGATAACACTCTCCTCATCTAAATTTACAGGGGTTGAACTTGTACCGGGAGGTTCACTTGTTGACTTAGAATATGCAGATGACATAGTTCTGTTTGGTGAAGACGCTGACAAAATGTAGAGTCTTCTGACCACTCTAAGCAACAATGCAAGCATGTTCGGCATGTGATTCTCTCCCTCGAAATGCAAAATGTTGCTTCAGGATTGGGTTACATCGACACCCGAACTAGTGATAGGGAGTGAAGTAGTTGAGCGTCTTGACCGCTTCACTTATCTTGGAAGTCTCATCAGCCCTTGTGGTTTAGTGTGTGACGAAATCTCAGCACGGATACAGAAGGCTCGACTAGCTTTTGCCAACTTGCGTCATTTATGGCGTAGGCGAGATATCCGTCTATCAACCAAAGGACGTGTTTACTGCGCAGCAGTTCGTTCCGTCCTACTTTATGGCAGTGAAACATGGCCGGTAAGAGTAGAGGATATCCGTAGGTTACTAGTATTTGATCATAGGTGTCTTCGAAACATTGCTCGTATATCCTGGGACCATCGAGTAAGTAACACAGTTGTTAGGAAACGGGTACTAGGTAAGGATGGCAAATCAATTGATGAAGTAGTGAAACTTCATCAGTTGAGATGGCTGGGACACGTGTTACGTATGCCCAACGACCGACTACCTCGACGTGCTATGTTCAGTGGTATAGGAGTAGGTTGGAAGAAAGCTAGGGGCGGCCAAACCAAAACATGGCACAAGTCCATGAAGTCACTGACAAGTGGACTGAGTCATGTTGGTAGGTGTAGACTACCTGGTTGGGGACCGCGAGATGACAGCAACCGATGGTTAGAGACCCTGAATGACATGGCTCAAAATCGTTTGCATTGGCGCAGGTGCATCCACTCTCTGTGTTCTCCCAAATTCTAATCTTCTGAATTCTTCATGTCCCTTTTTTCCTCTTTCCAAATTTCTTTCACTGTATTATACTCTTTAAATAACATCTCCAAACCCTAATCTTCCCGATTACTGCTTATACTCTTATTACCTCTACCACTACGGGATTTGAATCGACAACTGCATCTCTGTGCCAAGGTGGTGTGGCAAGTCGAACTGATGTACATACGTACGAAGTTCTACGTTGTTACTGACTGACTGACTGACTTAACATAGTTTCCGTTTGGTATAATAAAATGTATTCGGCAGGTCGTTACTGTAACGTTTCCTTTGTTTTACCATAGATGAGCCGTCGCGCTTCAAGAAATCGCAAATACGAAACCTGGTTAGTGCATTTTTGATGAAAAGTATTTTATTGTATTTTTCAACAGCATTAATATTAGTAACAGATTTGTGACTAAATTTTTACGTTGATGACGATACTTTATGTCTATTTAGTGGGTCTTTTATATAATTTTTTGTAATGCACTTTGTTACTAATAGTCGACTCCGTGGGATATTCAAATCTCAATGTATGCTCAGTTATTGAGTTTATGTCACTTAAATATTTGACGATAGTGTTTTTTTGAGGTGTTGTACGTGTATTTGTGAGGTTGTAATCTAATGGCTTAAGGACGACTTTCAACCATGTGAGTGATAAACTTTATCCGATTAACCCTTAGTCAGTATAGCTCACAACTTTTAACTTACTTTTACTCCTGGCTGTTGAGTTGTGTTGTTTATTCAGTAGTATATACTTTCAAAGTTATTTATTTTATATTGAAAACTGTTTAGCTCCTAATCACTTTGCAACAGAATTGTTTTCACTCAATTGATAATCAGATTCATTCGAGATAAATTTCTCAAAGTTCTGGTAGGAGAAGTCAACGAATTCGTGAATTAGGCAGTTGATGAGTCGTGTTTTGTTGCATATTCTGTAGGTTATATATTAAAAATTAGTTTACAAAAATGAGATTTTGGGAGCTTGATTTTTTCATGTCATTTACTAACTATAATTTCAGATGAAAGATCATTTACTAAAAACGGAATCACTGAAATTAGAATTATGTCTGCTTAGTCACACGGATGTGACTTCATCGTCGTCACCTCAATTAGAGCCAAAAACTCTTAACAGTCAAGCAGTTAATTTACCTGATCCTATTGTTCCAGTGAAATGTGAGTAAAATTTCAAATTTGGATAAATTTAATTACTGTACTTGTTTGCATGGATAAAAGATATCTAATAAGAATGTAGACCGATGAACTAATGAATTGAGTGCTTTTTGGTTGAAATACATTTCCATAGTATGGAAATACATTTCCTCTTGAGAAGCTTGAAAAGGAAGCTGAATTAATAAGCAGTAAGTGTCTTACCGATCTTACTTTGGTTAAATGAGAATTAACAGGAATAAGGTTTCAATATTGTTTATGGCATCAGAAAAATAAACATTGAAAACATTAAAAAACGAATAAAATTGACACATTAAAAGTATAAGATAATATGAAAATTCGGGCTTTAAAAGAGGATAACGAGTGATTACATCTGCTCTGTGAACCAATTTTCAGACGTGGTATGTATAGTCTTGAATTGTCCATTATATCTGTCTCACTGATTCCAATCATTAAACTTGCAATCTCGCCCTAATTTAGTTAGTGACTTTGCTGTGTTTGTCGACATAAGTAGTATGTAACATTGATCAGAGGTGGAATGCATCTCCAAAGAGGGTTGAGAAGATTGATCTGAAGAAAACATGAGATGAAACAGAAAGGATTTGAGAATTAGAAGAATCATGAAGGATATAAAAGACACTTGATGGAAGATTTGCAAATGAAGTATTTAATGTATGGTTGTCACATTTTACCAAAGAACTCTGTAATTTCGCATTAAACAATATAAATTGATTGTCCTCACCTGAGTGTTCTTTCACTACAACTTCATAGGATACTTTTGTCTAGTCGCCCTCAGGTTTTTTTGAAACTACTCCTGTGATAGTCAGCTTTGTTTAAATAGTAAACGGCTGAACATAGATAACTCTTTTCTCTACCATCTAAGTCGATGAAGCTTCAAATCTTCATCATTTTAACATTATCTAAGCTGTTGTTCTACTATGTTGTTCTAAAATATTTATAGGCACATACTAGCTACAAATGCATGTTTTCTACTTTTCAAATCTGTTTCACTCAATTTAGCGTTTTTACTTTTTCATTTCACATGTTTTCGTGCATGCATGTACTTTTCGTCACTATATTGATCTTAGGTTATGATGTATCACGACAGCCTAAAAAGAATGCCGATTCATCAAAGAAAGGCCTATTTCATTATCTACCAAAAAAAAAAGATGATCATCAATCATCATTGCAAAGCAAGTCATCACCTACTTCTGAAACATATCAACCACAAGATTCAGGTACAAGTGATAATTTTACATATTTTAGGGGAGACTGTTTGTCGACAGATTCAGTCGAACAAATTAATGTTTGTTTATCCTCAGATAAAGCTGGAATTCTTACTCGTATTAAGCATTGGTTTTCGCGACAGAATGATAAGACTGAAAATCCTTATGAATACAGTGGAAAAGCTAGTAAGTCACCTACACATTGATTTCATATTCAATGAAATCATTCAATTGTATTCATGTCTGTATATGTTGACAATGGTCCTGATTAAACTTACCAGATTTTGAACAATTAATTGTTTGTTCTAAACTTCTTGCCGTGTCATTTATTCGGTATTACTTATTGTGAGATAACTTTTTAGGAGTTATGAGGAACCTAACCATTGATTCTTGATTAGTTTGGTTGTAACATCTTTGACATAAGGCTTGAAGTTTACCAATACGGAAATGGTCAGAATCAATATTAGTTGCGTAATTGTTTTCAGCCGACAATTATTTCATCCTGTTTGAAATCATTTGAAAATATAATTCACTGTTATCTAGTTTACTATCCATTTATTTTCGAAAATTGTTTTAAGGAATACTTGGAAACAATTCATTAACATTGGTTAGTATTATTGTGATTCCATCTTTAAGTATGTTAAAGTGTTTGATACACAAACTATATTGTGAAGGGATAGCAAATCAGCTTTTTATTATTATAGTTTTATTAATTGTCAGTTAGGTAAGAAGAAAAAGGAATACGAAAAAAAATGAATCAGAATTTTATGCGTTTGTATTCAATCTGTGTGTTATACTCAACTCAATTTGTCCAAGTAAATAATTGTGATACAATGGTAATGAAAATGCTATCATAAACATCAAGTCATAATATTGTCTTTTATTCTGTTTGTTTCCTAGTTTATTCAATACTTAAAATTGTAACACGATACTAACATATTACATTTATTAGTATATTTTAACATGTATCAAACGTTTTACTTGTTGAACATTGAGCTAAATATTAATTTGTAGTAATTAGTTATTGTTGGGGACCTTATATCCCCAGAACTCACTTGAAAAAGGTCATAATTTCGTAATTTTATTTTGGAAATTTGAATTTCTTTGTTTTCGCACCACAACCGCTCTTTTCTCCTTCATGTCGTATTTCCCAGTTGGGAGAATCTTAAACGCTATTGGTCCACTGTATCTTTTAGTAGGCTGTTTTGTAACCCTTCCCAAGGACGGTTTTGTGCTGTATGTATACGTTTTGATTTGTGTCTGTTGTTATCACTCGTGCTTCTGGCTTTTTGCGGAATATACTTCCCCGTTCGGACTTCGACTTCTCTCTCTAGTTAGCGGGCTGGGACGCAACAGAATAGCTAGTTTATTGGTCTTTGGTCACAAGTCTTTGTTCCGTTCGCAGACTAAGTGAACTCGTAATCACTTCAGTTATATTCTAAAGTTTTCTTTTCCGTGTTTACTTTTTCTCTGTTACTAGTGTGTAAAGTAGTATTATTAATAATGGTCGGACCATATGACTTAAGCTTTCTCTGTTAAGCTCTAAAATGTATTAATCATTATTTTAATTTGTTAAGTTTGGCTATGTATGAATGGGAAAAAACACGACCATTTTATTACTTATTTCCATTCTGTCCCCAATGCCCTGGTACGGCCAAGGTTGGGGAGAGTTAGCTCTCCCTCTCGAAATGCTCTCACATAGCCATGCGTATGCAGACAATGAAAGGAAAGTCCTACTTACTGCCTTCTTGCAGCGGGGATGCTGTTTACGAATTTGAGATGACGAAAAGTGAATATCCGGAGCTTTAACCGGGTTGATGGATATGGAAAATCCACCTAGGGGAGTTGGAAAACCCTGATTCCAAACCAATGGTGCATATGGGCTCCAAGATCCTGAGAGAACAAATGGCGTATGGACCTATTGTTGGTCACCGACTACCTTGTAACGTTGATCCACTGCTTGTAGATTGGACCTCTATGTCAAAGGCTTGGGATGTGGCCTCCTAACAAAACCACCTGCTTCGGTTCGGGCACCTGGACAGTATTCCTGCCCCTACATAAATCGAATGATTTGTGTGGCACATGTATTCTGTGTCCCCTTGTACCAGTGTTTATGTGTTCAAATAAATATTATCTCCATTCTAGTTTATTCTAATTCTAAACGATTGTTTCCATACAATTATTTTAAATAATATTGAATTTCATTTACACTGCATTACTTTCATTGATTTGTATGGATATGAGCAGAACCTGTGCCTACCGCTATATTGGTTGAGGTGGATCATTCGAATTCTACACAGTTGCCATTGGGATCGCTTCACTCTCCTCCTGTCCTTCCTTCATCTCCTAGTCCTTGTCCAAATTCAGCGAACACAATTGAACAAGAAGAATCTTTAGCTCTTAATCAGTCTGTTAATTCCTCTACAATTGAACCGGCCATTGAATCAAGTGTGAAGACAACTTCTTTGGATTCTTCAAAGTTCAGGGATTCCTATTTAGAATCTGAACCAAATGTCGATTCAACTGATATGGTAGACGGTCTAACTGAGAAATTTTATCGTAGTCGACTTTTAGAACTGGGTGATTATTTAATTTTAGTTTTCTTCCATCCTAACTACTATGCTTACCTAAACACCATCATCTGTCAATTTTTTAAACGCTTTTCTTTACACTAGATTTCCAATATTTTGAGATAACATTATTGTCCGTGATGCTAAAAAGATATCAAAATCTTCTAATTAGTGTTTATGAATATGTATGTAAAGCAAAACTGCTCAACGCTAAGTTTCTTCATAGTGTTTTCCATGTTTGGGTAGATAACTAAGTGAGAAATTTCATGGTTAAAGTTAGATTTATCGACGAAGGGAGTAAATAAGTAGATAAGTGTATAAACCTGCATTGACAGCGTTCACTGAGTCATATGTTATGCAGATAAAGTCACAATCTAACTCAAAGTGCACTAATAAGGTAGAATTTGATCGATAAGAATGACCAGGTGATCAGATCGGGACATTAATTCACTCCAATTAATCATAAACTACTGTTTTTAAATGTGTGAAGAGATAATCAGATTTCTCAGTTGACATCTTCGGATTAACAAAAATTCAATGTCTGGATTCATTTTTCAACCCAATTTTTATGATTTTCTCTTCCTGTTCTATTACAAAGTGTGACAACCTGAAATTTCACTTCTGTACCAAACTATAGGTTAGCATGTCTGTCAGTCCAAATCTAGAAGAAAACGAAAACTTGATGTGTACACTTTAATTCATCCACTTCTGTTGTAAACTATAAAGATTTCCAAGATTTTGCTATTTAAATATTCTAATAAACTTATATTTTATCACGGTATTTCTTTAACTGTTTAGTGTCATATTTGATTCTAATTATTGTTTCTTATTTTACCAGGTACCTCCAGCAATATTGTGGTTGAATTTTTGGACAAGTTTTATAAACTTGTATGTATGATTGAATATTTATCATTGGTTTTTAAATGTTTTTTTAATTTAAAAGTAGTATAAATTTGTGCTTTTCTGTTTAAGTTACGTAGATTTCATCATTAGTATCATTGAAATGTTGCTCAGACGTTGTAGAATCACTGAGAGTAACCTGTGTTGATATCAATCGTAAGTTTAACTGTAATAGGAGGCAGGAAGCATAAAAATAGTGGCACTGTATCAGTTAGATGGACTGAATTAACGCCTAATCACTGTCCATTAAGTCGTACAGTAGTGATCAAATCAAAATTGAAAGAAACAAAGTATGGTCTGATGTCAACTGTTAATCATGGTTATGTTTACGGGAAGTATACTCCTTTAGAACAATAAAAGTTAGGGGTTAGATAACCTGTGTAGCGCATATATATTTGGTACACTCTTGTACCAATATGTATGTGTTCAAATAAATAAATAGATAACCTAGTCCACATAAGCCTAAAACCGAGCACAATAGTTCAAATGCATTCATTCTTAATTGAAATTTACAGTAAAATTAGTTCTAGTTTAGTCGTTGTAGTGTAAGTAACAACTGGATATTCACTTTCCGTCCTCTCAAGTTCGTAAACATCATCCCCGCTGCGAGAAGGCAGTGAGTAGAACTTTCTTTTCATTGGCTGTATACGCATGGCCATATGAGAACATTTGGGGGGCAGACGCTCGAAATAAGGGCGAACTGCTAACAATGGTAAGGAAACACAATCACGGTAATAAAATGGAATAAGTGTAAGGAATACATGTGAATATTTGAAAATAGCGCACATAACAAACGGATTATAGGTTTTATATATCAAAAAATGATTGACAACAACATAAACTACTGTATATTAGTAATTCATTTGTATTGATTGTTTGAATCTTCTCATTAATGTTTAGGACTGCAATCAATCAGTCTCATATAGGATGAAACATGCGTCCTGGATTCCACTGTTAGATACTATCATCCATCTCTCCTAATGAATATTAGTAAGTAACTTAGTAGTATAACATGGAAAAAGAAATTAAGTTAAAAACCAGAATTCTCAGTTGATATATTTATGTACTCTTATTCATCTGACAAATCTTAAGACTTAACTACAAATCTTTAAGAATGACCATATATCAACAAATCGTTTGATGATTTGTTTCTTTACATCAATATAAAAGGTTGTTTACATAATATTGTTGACAAATACAATGTATATATATATATATATATATATATATATATATATATATATTTGTTTTCTAGATTTCTAAACATCATTTACAAGAAGCACTGATTTACTTTCAAAATGAATTTTCAAATTGTTTAAAAGAAGCTCAAAGTGAGAAAGTTTCCTAGTTAAGAGTTTTTGTTAACAACTTTATTTTGTAACAATAAACTTATAAAATAATTTAATATTCTTTGCATGTTTGAATATTGACTTACCATTATTATTATTATATTTGTTATTATCATTAAGTTTATCTGGCGCCATCTTTAAACAGTGTTGTAGTAGTGGTAACTGTCAATCAAGATTTGTATTATGTCAGTGGGTAACATTTCAAATGATTCATTCTTTTATGAGAAATAAGCTTTTCTATGTTTTATTAATGACATCAGTTAGTGTTTATTGTTTAAATTAATTATAAGTGTGATAGAATAGCTATTTGTAAGTTAAGTAGTAAAACGCTCATAGTCACTTTACATTATGAACTGATATCAATTAGATATTTACGGAAAACCAGAGAGCATTAAATAGATATTTCTTTCTTGTTCGAGAATTACAAGTAATGTATACACCTACAATCCTACACATGATCGCATTTTAGTTCGTGTGATCTCGTAGCGAACACGATACCATTCAATTGCTAATTCTTAACACGATTCAATTTATGATGTTGTGTAATCCTCACATAATATCATCTATCAGTTCTTATTTCGTTCTCAACTTGTCTAAATTTACAGATCATGATTTTTTTTTACTAGGACCTCACTTTTTCAAGTAGAAATCTATATCGTACATTATACTCTTCATTATTACAACATTGATTCTATTTAAATCGATTTAGTTCATGTTTATTTATTTCTTCATAACTATTCTTTAGCATCACATGATTCAATTATTTTTCTAATTCCTTCATTTAAATTGTATTTCGTGGTTATTTGTAAAACGAAATGTTTTGTTATAAAGTTCATAATCATTATCTTTAATACGCTCCGTAAAAAAAAACTGACGAAGTGTTTATAGACAATAATTCCCATTATTCGAAATCAAAACTTTCCGATAACTCATCCCTGAACTCTATCACTGATTATATTCTTGAAATAATTCTGAAGTTCATGATGTTTTCTTGAGGATCTTCGTATCCTGGAAAAGATCTTTGAGCTATATTTTTCTACTGTGCAATAATATTAGTGTACACGAATTTTATTTAAAATAATAATGGGAAAGTTTCAGGTAGGAAGAGCAATAAAAAATTCCCTATATTGACTTGTATCTCTGTCTTATGGCTTCTCAAATGTTGCTACGTTACCTCAACCATGCTCCCAAAAACGCGCTAATTAAAATCTGCTGGACAACACTGTCCTTCATTTAATCATACTTGATCTACCATAAATTCTTATATACAGTTCTTATGTATTGAAACCTCTTTGTGTAGAATTGATAAACTTTTAAAGCTACTTTGTATTTGGATGGTACAGGATACTTGCTAGGATTCACAATTGATTGATCACTGGGTGGTGATCAATCTCATGCTTGTCTAGTCCTTATTAGTGCAGATCGAATGCTATCGATCATGTTGCAATGTGGCCACCAGTCTAGGTGACTCGAAACTGCAGGCACTATGTATTGAGATTAGATGGTGGTTGGAGGTAGTCAACAGGATAGCTCAGTGGTAACGTCTCTGACTGTGAAGCTGGGTGACACGAGATCGAATCCGCCAGGGAGCACCAGTTCCCTCAAGATTACAGGTACACCTTGCTGACGAGTGCCAAGTAGCACGAAACCCGGGTCCAGGGTTTCCTGTTGACTACCTCCAACCACCATCTAATCTCAATACTTGCTAGGATTTTTAGGCATGAACCGTTAGTTGATCAATTGGGACGATTAGTCAGATTTTGCTGTCATGCAGTAATGTCCATAAGTACGTTTTCATAAGTATTATTATCATTACCATTATTTTAATATAAATGACCACACGTTATTTGATATTTCCTTTCTTTTTTTCTCTCAGATGATTCTAATTCCAAGAACCGGAGTATTTTGTTTAAAGAAGTAAGATATAGATTGTTTTTATGTGGTGTTTGTACAAATTAAAAACAAAGATTTTTTTATAATTGTTTCATTGTATGATTGCCATCAGTTGTTTTAATTTTTCTTTGAACCAGTTAATAAGTGTATGCATTGTTCGTGAACTCGCTTCAATTTCTTTTTTCTGCTGGCCATGAATTCTGAAGATGCAGAGCTTAACATACTGTTATATGGTATATGTGGACTGTTAGAGTTTCAAATAGGAATGAGACATCTGTTTAGTCTTTCTTAGTTTTAGGTAGTTCTTCAGTTAACATCAGCTTACTTTTCACAGAACTATCTCATGCTATATCATCAGTATGTTTATAGGAATATAAAGTTTTTTTGTTATTTATACAGACGAGCTTTGGTTTATCATAAGTTTATAATGGTTAAATAATTTGTCGTCTTTTTTCATTTCTAAAAGACTGAAAATAGTAGCCACAACTCAGATTAATTGATTTCTTTTCATGGTTTGTTCTTTCACATAATTTTTAGTTAAATCTTGCCATGGATAAAGCCGAACAAATCAAAGCCAAGTTAAATTGTAACAGTACAATGATGATTGGTGAAAATGAATCTTCTAGTTTTCAAATTGGTGAAGAAGTACTCGACGAAAATCCACAAGAAGAAGGTGGGCGTTTTTACTTTATTATGCAGATTTAATTTAGTTTATTGATGAGATTTTTTTACATTCTGTTATCACTGAGGTTACTTCTATTTTATTTATTTAACTTCTATTCATTTCTATCTTCATCATATTTTATTTAGACGAGCATTCAATATGCTCATAAATAATCTTATACTTTCATGATTATTGCGAAAGTTTTAATGAACAGAATAATCTCGTGCGAGGATGATTAGTCACTCAATGTTAAAGGAAACATCACTTTTAAGATCTATCCAAGCGTCTAATTGCACAAATTAGAGATACACATGAACAATTGAAACTCAAAACAACGATTTATCTAAAGAAATGTTCAATGCAAGTTATTTACAAATCTCAAATCTTGAGATATCTTTGGAAATTAACGCCTCTTGATATGTTGAGGTAAAAAGATTCCCTGTAGTAATTACATGAAAATGAATTGCAATGTGCGATAGCGTAAGTCACAGTCAGTAGCTGTCTAAAGTCGATAATAATTATCAACTATTAGATGGAGACTAATAGCACTAAGACATAGAAAATCTTGTGTCTAAAAATATATTTGAGGAATGCACAATAACTAGAAATAACTATTTCAAGTTAGTTTATGCAAATACTTAAGAATTTTACGCAACAATAAATGGACATTGAACCATGTGTCCATACATTATTGGAAATGCAACTGGTTACTAAATATCAACAAGTAGTATAAATCAATGCACGCAAACGAGTTGAGTGAGAGGAGAACGGAAACTGTGAGTGCCAACGAACTTAGTTATTATGTTACGAGTCAAGAACTTTGGTGTACTACAATCGGAGTGATTCATTTCATTATGGGCAAATAAAAATTATATCTTAAAGTATAGGGGTCATGTTTTGGTTATTAGTGAATGCCTGAATCAAAACCAAACCCTTGGATAAGTGTGTATCGTACAGTTTAGTTTGTAAAATTCAGGAGTTTCAATTATGCCGTTTCTCATTTCATCCTCTGTAAAGTTATGAAACATTTTAAGGTGCTTCATTGGCATTTGTTTCTATGGGGAATTTTAGTATGTTTTGATCTAAGTTATTAACTCCCATACCCGATAAAAATTCGTATGCTTAACCTTGAGTCACACCTTAACTGTGAGGCCTATCCATACTAAACAACTGCTCAAACCGAAGTAAGGGGAGTTGGGCTTGAATCTGCGGCTTAGTAATTGAAGGTCAAATACCGTAATCACTGAGCTACCGTTTCAGTGTACACTGCTTAATCGTTAGTTTTTGTAGCTCTTCAATAACTTTACATTTTAAATTACTTTTTTTAAGTCAAAGTATTATATATTTCAATGGTTAAGATCATGAGTCAGTTGAAGCCAGACCACCATGGATGTGTCGCTCAATTTCGTGGATAAGTTGAAGTTAGACATTAACACCGTTGGGTGCCAGCTCAGTGGTCTAGTGGTTAAGTGCTCGCGCGCGAAACCAGTAGGTCCTGGGTTCGAATCTCTCAGGGGGAAAGGTCATGGATGCGCACTACTGAGTAGTACCACAATAGGACGAAACGGCCGTCCAGTGCTTCCAGGTTTTCCATGCTGGTCTAGCTTCAACTGACTCATGATCTTAACCATTGGAATTACTTTAATATCCACAAAACCCATCTGATATTATATATTTGTTGAGAATATAAATTTTTCAAAGATATATTCCTAAATTAGTTATTTAGTTTATCTACATTTAAAGTTAATAGTTATAGACTATTTGATGCAGTTTAATGTCAGCGTTTCTTAACAATTCATTGTTGAAAATTTTCATTAACAGTTAGCCTATTACTTCCACGTGAATCATTTAAATTGTATATCATCATCCTTTTGATTAATAGAATATCATTTATTAAAAGAATAAGCGATTGGATAATTTAGTATAATATTCTTTGTTCGTTTCGTATTTCAGATCAGTGCTTATTAATGTGATATATATGGAGAGAGAGAGAGAGGTCTATCTAACCTATTTTATGTTGTTTGTTGAAAGCTTGATATCTTTCAATTAATCGTGATATTGTGTATATTTATTATTTGCATATTTTTCTTATTTCTTTTTCTTATGTGTAACTGGTAATGTTATATGTAATTGTTAATTTCTATCGTATAAACACTTGTGGTGCTTATACACCTCATATATAGATCATATTATCTTTTTATCGAAAAATGTCTTTCATACGAATTTTTTTCTTTTAATATACTTTAACGGTAAATATAAACAAATTGTTTTGTAGTTGATTTCTTATTTTTTTCTTCGAATAAGTACAAAACTGCAGTAGAAGGCCTATCCATTGCGTAGTATCGAGTCATATAAAATAATAGTTTTGTTACTTGATCAGTAGAATTCGATCAACAATAAAAGATTGAACATGTGTCTGTATTAGACACTACTAGTTAATAGTGATTTTTTGTAAATATTTGAGTAATGTAAGTGCCACATTTTAAATAACTGGGTTATATATTTCCTGAGTGATACGGGTCTCAATCATATAGTGAACGTCTACTGTGTCAAATTATTTTATATAGTTTAATAAGGAGTACAAAGTAGCTAATCAAACTGTCAATAAATTGTTCAATACATCGAAATAATCTTGGTAGTAAAAATAATGTTTTCGAGTTATGGGTTAATGAATCAAGCCAGTGTTTAGAGTTTACTAACAAATATTTAGCAAATAGTTGTTTTTCACTACCAACGACCAATGTATTTAAGGTTGAATAAGAAACCCGGGCAAACCGCTAATGTAGAAGCATTATTCAGTTATGTTTTATAAAGTAGTTGTAGTCAGTAGATGATAATCAAAGTATGGCTGAAATCTATTTATCAAACAAATCCTCTAACTCTGTTCGCGGTATCATGGACCAATAACTAATTATACCCTAATATAAAATCGGCTATAGACAAGCTTGGGTATCGTATACGCATAAATATAAATTGTCCCAACTACAACTTCTATTTATTCTTCTGATAAAATACCTATAATATCCCATTGAAAGTCTCAACAAGAATGTGTTGTATAACAACTCAGCTACTTCAAATAAGTATGAAACCCATATAACTCAAACCTGGATTACTATCTTTGTAGCTATAGTTATTTGTTCAGTCATCAAAATTTCTTAACAAAACACGGATTCATTTACTCGATCCTGCATCACGCTTTTGTTCTAAGGGATGAGAGTAGCATTGATCTTATAAGAATAGTTTTTTAATGGTGTAAGTAGTAATGATTTTGAATTATCGGTATTCGATTGTATTAACAATCACTGCTGTCTTCTATGTCTATTTTAAATCTTGAAGATATGATTTGTGATGTTTGTTGGTGTAGAATTTCTGTGGAAGCGGAACTTCTAAATGAATTAAAATCTTATGGGAAAGAGGTTTTCTGCTATGTTATAATAAGAGAGATCCCAGTGGTTTTTATTTAAAATATGTATGCACAATGAAGTGTCATCCTAATTGACTGATAGCTTCTCAAATTACATGAAGGTTGGTTTTATAATAAATTTAGTATCTAGCGTTATGGGCAACCTGTCAGTCGTAGACGCAAATCTTGTATATTTGATAAAAGGTTTTTACACAGTAACTGTATGGTCAGTAGGTCATATACACGAGTTTCCACATCTTACTTAGGAGATCGGCCTTTGGTTTAGTCATTTGACATCGATCAGAAGGATGTTATCCACCCTTCATTGATTTCTAGAGCTACAGTTTTTTTATTTACCGACGTTCAGGAAGAATACAATTGCACAAGATGTTTTTGATATTTGCCGATGCATGTTTAAATAATGACAACTTTCTAGTCACATCAACTTATGTGGTGAACTTTATTTAGTCGGTGATTTTGAAAGGTTAACCGAACGTACCATCGGTGTAAGAAGTGTGGCTAAGACCCATCTTGATGTTTACGGTGATCCAGGATTCTTTCTTTCGATAGTATATAAAAAAACTGTAGTCCATCGATTTCGGGAAGTTGTATATGTTGATGGTATCTGCAAGTGCAACAAAGGATTGTCAAATTCGATCGATATCGGTTATAGAACTTATGTTTTAATAATGCAGAATATTAACATATTCATCTGTTTATAAAATAAATGATGATAAAATGATAATCTTTTATAATTTTTCAAATATTCTTGACCGTATACATGTATGGATAGTTAATACTCTGAATTCAGTAGTAATATGAGCTGTTGATTTAAATCATTGAAAAAACATTCTAAAAAATAATTTTCACCTGTCATCGAATTAATTTATTTACAGGCAAACTAATTACTGTGATACTGGTGAGCCTGTGTCTATCGTGAATGAACTTGTCAATTTAGGCTTACTAATAATAAAGAAGTTATGATCTGTTGTCGAAACTGATATCAAATCAATAATAAATATATTTTTGTTATATCCGAATGAGTAAAAATTTTCTCTGAAAAAGTGGCTCACATTAAGTCATGAAACGTAAGAAATACAATTTTCTTACTTAATGGGATATAACAAAAATTTATTTAATATTAACTCTCTACCGTATGCTCAATTTATTTGAATCTATCAAGTCCAACCTTGGTATTGATACATATAAACTGATTGATAATGGGATATTAAACTACTTTTTTCCAGCATACATTGTTTCTATGCATAACAGTTAGTCAATGAATAGTTATCAGTTCCTGCTATTTTTTTCTGGATTACATATTTATTCATCCGATTTGTGTATAAGTTATAGTTAAATCTAAACTTGGTGGTATAATTCGAGAATCATTAAACATAGCTTGAAACATTAAGTCCTGTTTCCAAATGAAAAATAATGAATAGACTTTTATATTTAACTATTTTTTACCCAGCGTCTTATCTTTGAATGTACTCTATTAACTGAGACAATATTCCACTGTCAACACGAAGTGATTTAATTTCTTGTTATTTCATACAATATATGTATATCATGAATTCAGGTTTTAGCGTTCCAGTAAACTTAATAGAAAATTGTGTATCAAAGAGATTGTCCATTAATACTTTATCTTCCTTTGGTCATTATTTCAATACAATTTATCACCTACGTTAATTAGTAATTAATGTTTGGTCACTTGAAAGTTTATTTCTCCAAAACAGTCGATCCGACTGAGTCATTTCTTTTTATCGAATAAGTTTTAAGTACAAAATTATAAATCATAGCATCCAACAGAAACTACCTAGGTTTCATGGGATTCTACTAATCAGATTATGATAAAATGGAGTAAGTATTAACCAAACTGGTTTTATCCTCAAAGGGTCACACCGAATTAGTCAAATGAGTAAGAATCAAAAAGAAATGAAGGATGGTAAGTTTTACATTTAATTCTTCAGCATTCTTTCTTCAGTGACATTTCATTCGATGATTAGTAATATAACATGGTGATTCAAACTAGTGTAAATGGAACATTTTTTAACGTTCAACGTAATAACTAAAAGTCGAATGTTTTAACAAATAGCCTACCTATTGATTCGCCATAATTAAATCTCATTATTTTTGGAGTAAACAAGAAACGGAAGGTTAATTAAACTAAATCATAATTTCATAGAAAGAACCGTAACTATACATCACCTAATTTCTCTATTCCATCTTTATATATCGTATTGATCATATCTTAGTGAAACTGAAAAATTCAGCTGAATAGGCTATTTTTTTATATCGAAAAATGAAATGATAATGAAAATCCTTTAGCAATTTAAATTAGTAAGATCCAATATATGATGTATAACATAGTACTGAACTTAAGCAAATAAGATAACCATTGACCTTATAACTACCTGTGGAACATTTTACACAGAACTGAAATACAAATTATTATTTAATAGTTGAATTCACGAGTCGATTAAAACTAGAAAACCTGAAAGCATTAAATGGCGGTTACATTCTAGTATGAGACCTCTCACCAGTGTGCATTCACGATCCAGCACGCGGGACTCGGATCCAGGACCTTCGGTCTCGCGCGCAAACTCTTAACCCCTAGACCACTGAGCCCGCATTCATCGTTATTAATACATAACTTCAACCAGGACAAAACAGTCATCCAGTCCCCTCATGTTTTCCATGATGGTCTAGCTATAATCGACTCATGAATTCAATTATTAAATTACTGCAATCTCCACACACCCCTATTCTGTGATATAATTATGATTTATTAGTACCTCAATGTATGAAATAAGATAGTAGATTATTTTATTTTTCTGCCCTAACACACTCTTATTCTCTTCTAACCTTTAACGATTATTTCATATTTTGCTAATGAACCAATCAACATTGCAGAATAACAGACAGTTAATTATTTTACTTAGAATGATTTCCTCTCATTCTCTTTCTGAGATAGAATAAACATATTTCTCCTATCATTTTATATTTATTTTAATTTTTTTAACGATATATGTCTTGTATGGAATGATAATTTAAATGAATACAAAAGATAGAAACATTGAATTAGCGCGTCAACAATAAATCCGATTGGTTTGTAATTTACTAATTACTAGTTATTATTAACAATAATCGTAAACTACTACTTATGATCGTATATACATTTTTTATGGAAAAAATTTGAAAATCATATTTTTTTAACAAACAATCACTGTTCATTTTAAAAAGAAACTTATGTTAATACAACCATTTTATATGAATTAATTATTCATTTGTTTCATTAAGATGTTTGAATTATCCGATAATTTCAGTGAAAAGTCTAGATCTATGATGATTGAACAAATGAAACAACAGCATTGTTTCTTACAATATGATAAAGAGATTATATCAAATTTTTTAAACCTTATGAATATTCATTATACATGGAATTGTTATCACAATAATAATTGTAATAATGATTTTGATATTAATAATATTCAAGAAAAGTTAACTATTGAACATTTGAATCCTTTCATGTCAATCAATTCATATACAGATTATCCATTTTGGTCATCTAT